ACCATATCATCTGTCACATCTACAACACCACCATCATCCATAGTGCGAGGATTGATCTCAACTATTTCTCCGTCTTCAGGGTCTGTGTGAGTGTCGTCGTCACCTGTAGCCGGTTTTAGTTGCATCGATTGAATATCAAAGTGTTCCAATGCGGCAGATGCAAAGTCCTGCCCTACATCCGCAGTAGAGAAGGCATAGTTGAAGGCTGGGTTGGTCCGCCACCAGCCATGAAGCTCAGGCCACCAGGGAAATTTTTCGAGCTTTGTATCTGATGGAAACACGGTTAAGACATGTGCAGATCAACACAGCTAAAACGGACCGATCAACGACTTCATCTTTGGATCCTCTTGGAGCTCTGCATACGTCTTTCCTGCTCCTGACTGCTTGAGGTCCTTGTTGAACTCGTTGTATTTTCTTCGAAGTCTGAAACATCTTATCAGTGATTCCAGTGGGAAGATGAATGACGCAGGAGGAACTAGATACTTACGTGCCGAAACGAGTTGAAACTGGTTTGATAAAGGCCTTAGGGTCCTCTTTGAAGAGTCGTTGAACCTCCAGATCCTCATCATTCGAAAATACTGCGTGTGCGACCTGTGAATAGACAACATCTCTTGAACTACCACTCTGCTTCTTCTTCCGACCTTGCTCCTTGGCATCCTTTGCCGAATCAGAGAAAAGCTTGATTCGTGCATTGTCATTTTCCTTGCACCAGGCAAGTAGCCGTTCAGTACGAGCACCACGGACCCCCTCCCAGTGAATGGTACACTTCTTCCCAGTGTCCGTACTGGCAGGTGCGTTGGCCTGGACACCTCCACCCCGGCCTCTCTGATTTGAGCGTGACATGATCTAGGGTGTGCTTAATGACAGTGATTAGATATTGGATTAAGGCTTTAGCAGCGTCAACGCCGGTAACGACGATGTTGAGCACACTGGCTGGCAGGGCAGGTCGGAGTTCGAAACCTGCCGTACCGGCAGCATCCGAATTCGCAAAATTTCTCTGTGAATTTCTTAGAAGGTTCGACTTTGAGAACCGTTAATCTTACTAGGTTTTACCTGGAACTTCCTTCGCTGAAGACCACCAATCTTAAGTCATCTAGACTTGATTCAAGTCGAGGACACTCTCCTTGACCTGTCTTATGAAATCAACCCCCTTGTATACGCAAGGGTCCTGAACTGTCCTTAGCTGATTACTCTTATCGAGTAGCTATATGACAGAACTTATCTAGTTCATAACAGTCCTTGAGTGGTGCATCTGATCTTATTTGCATTATCGCTTTTACAACTTCTAAAAAAACTGGTTCGTTAGTGAATCTTTCTAATAGACTTACTGTTGTTTCTGGAGGCTTCTGTTGTCATTAGTAGGATGTCATTGGTCAGTCCTGTTGTTACCTCCAAGTCCTTGCTGACCGTCCAGTCGCTGCCATCCTGTAGATTGGTGTCTTGCAGTTGTCCTTCCCACTGTCTGCTCAAGCTGTCCACCACAATTTTGAGCTTGCCTGGCATGTGGTGAACATCAACAATATTGTGAGCTAATATACTGTTGCACCACTGTGCGTGCACTGTGTTAAGATGGTCATTTATGAGTACATCTCTCAATGCTTGGCAATCTATTTCTATTTCTACTGGGAATCCCCAGACAATATCTGAAAACTTATCTAAACCAAATTTTAGCGCTGCAAATTCAAGTAAAAATGGTTTGTATTTGTGCTCAGCTGTTGATGTGTGTTTCAATGCAAATGTGATTGGGAGGAGTCTCTACAAATTTCCCTGACTGCTTCTCTGCTTGAACCCTTTGTGATAGGACTGCTGCGAGGCCTTCTTGACAGCCGTCGGATATTACTACAAATGATGAGCCATCATAACGTGGAGCTTGGAGGATGGGTCTTGATACTAATGCTGTCTTTAGGTCCAGGAAGGCTTTATTATGCTCATTGCCCCATTGCTCTGCTAATTTGAAGTCCCAGAGTATTTGGCAGTATGTGGCTTTTGAATATGGTGGTTTCAATGGTGCTGACTTTACCAGGTCTCTCAATGGCCCTTCTCTTTTTGTGTATCCTTGTACTAGGTCTCTGAAATGGCTTGTAAGTCCTAAAAATAATTCTAAGTTTAGTGTGTCTGCCAGTTTCTCCCAGTTCACGATAGCGGTTAACTTCTCTAGGTCTGGTTGTACTCCCTGGCCCTACTGTAGCTCCTGCAAAGGTTGTTTCGGTCATAAACAGCCTGCACTTTGATGGTGACAGTGAAAGTTTCTTTTCTCTGCAGTGTTGGAAGATTCTGGTATGATTCTCCATCATATCTTGAAATGTGTCTGCTGAGCAACCTCCATTGTCAACAAATAGTTCCATGGTTCCATCTGTGATTAGGTCGTGCAAATGTGTTGCTGTCATATCTGCGAATGTGGAAGGAGTGCCGGTGAGTCCCATGGGCATTCGTTTATACCAAAACAACCCTCTTCCTTCTACATAGAATGCTGTGAATGGCTGTGATTTCTTCCAGCACATCAACTGCATAGAATCCTGACACAAAGTTGAACACTGTGACATATTTATGTCCACTAAGGTGTTGTTGCTTGGCTCTGATGTCGCCTTGTGGCATTGGGGCTATGATAGTATGTCTGTTGACTTCATTGAAATTCTGACAGATTCTCCATTTCTGTGGTCCTTCAGGTTGTGCTGGCACCTGGTTGTCCTGTACTTCCCATTCTGGGAGTGTGAACACTGGTGGGAGTCCATCTTGTTCACATTGGTCGTTGACTCGACATCTTAGCTCTTCTAATGTGAGTCCACCCTGTTCATATACTTTCTTCACTAACATGGCTGTTGCTGCGCATTTGACTAGGTCCAGTAGTGCTTTTTCTATAATTCTGGCCACCAACATTTCATCTATCCTGCCATGTAAGAATCTGAGCTGTGGTGGGGTAAGCGCTCACTGATGGACTCTTAGGTTGAACATTGTGCCCTCTGGGATGTTGAGCGTATGTTTTGCTCCTGGTATTGGGAGTACTTCTGGCAGTAATCCTGCAAAGACATCTGCAAATGATGCTACTAGTGCTTCTGCCTGTCTGCGTTTGTCAGCCATTAGGTTGTCACTGTACTGAACCTTCTTGACGATAAAGGCGACTCAGTTTGGGTTCATTGGATCCATGAGGCATGTGAATATAGCTGCTTTGTTTTTGAAGAAGTCAATTGGTATTTTGTTGAGGAGGGCTTTGAGCAGGTCGCTAGGTATGTCGCCATCTTCTGTTAACACACATATTGATATCTCCTGTTCTGTGGGTATCAAGTGGTCAATTGCATGACTTTGTGGGTTTTCCCTGGAAGGTGTTTGGACATCCCTCAAGGGGAGCTCATCACTCCCATTTATGTGTCTTCACTGTCTCTCTCCTATTAAGGCCCTTCCCTTGCATCTTTTGGTTCCTACCCATCTCGCAATTCCGTGCCTTACCAGATACATGCTATTTTTGACCCTGTACATTCGTCATTGCTTCCAGCTCATTCTTGCTTGACCTTGCTTTGTTTGTGTAGGTCTTGCTTCCTTCTCATCCTCGATCTTCACCTCTTCCTCTATGGCTCCTACATCTTGTTCTTCTTCCCGGGCTTCTTTGATGGTTGGACATGTGGCTTTGCTTTGGTTGGTTAGTGTCCTGTCGCCACCACTGCCCCTGATATGGACTTGGTCTGTCTTGTAGTTGTGTATAGCCTTGAAGCTTCGCAACATTTGTTTACCAAATAATAAGTTCCATCCTCCTGCACTGTCAAAGACTTTCAAATTCACCTTGTGCTTGGATGCCTGTGATCGTGACTTCCCTTTCCACACTGCTGATAATGGTATGATTGTGTCATTTTCCGTTCTTAACTGTTGATTTGATGGTCCCCAGTCTCCTAGTTGGTGTTTAACTTTCTGGAAAACCACCGTACTCATTGCACTGATCATTGTGCCTTCATCAAATAGGGCTTTGACTTGAATGACTTCTCCTTTCAGTCCTGCAAATGAGATATTCTGCAGGAAGGGAAGACATTTGGTTTGTGACAGTTCTTCATCTGCCGAATACAGGTTCACAACATCATATTTTTCTATATCAAGACAACTGGTGACATGGTCGGTACTGGAAGCAGTTTTGGCAGGATTGTTGTATTGGTCCTCGTGTGGTTCCTCTTCACACATGATGACTAGCTGTCCATTTCTGTGAGGTATAGTATTCTGTTGGGTCATCATGTGGTCCTCTACACTGATGACCCTTCCCCTTTTCCCTGTTCTTCTGATTCGAGCAGGTACGAGTTGTCAAATACGACATTGACCTGGGGCGCTGTTGCTCTATTGAACATTCCCAGGGTTCGTGAACACATTCCTCTCTGAATTGTCTTGTTCTTTGTCAGCTGCACATTCTGTGATACTTGACACTCTGGACTTATATGACTGTGTGCCCTGCATCTGAAGCACTCCCTGGAACATATTTGTGCCGTTCCTGGGGTTAACAGGACTGGGGTATGCTTGCTACACCTCACCCCACTTCCCCACGTGGTTCCCCACTGACGGAGCTGCTCCTCATATGCTACTTGCCCCACTGGAGTGTCAGGGTGATGAGGCAACTTGTTGATCCTAGTGCACATCGCATCTCTTTCTTCTTGGGTTGGAGGCTGACCTTGAGGCCTTTGAGTTGCCCCTGGCTGGTTCCCAGTTACATAGTGTACCTGGCGGCAAGCTGTGTTATTGAACACAGTGTTGTTTTGTGGGGTCTGCTGCTGCAGTGTGTTGTATGGTACCATTTGGTTGACAGGTGTTCCTATGGCCATTCTCTGCATCTGCAGACAAAGGATCTCTACTGGGTCGTTTTTCCTGGTTTCGAGTCAAGCGATGTGAGCATTTTGTGCCTTCTCTACTTCCTTTGTCTCTCTGGCTCATTTCACCTTCTCTAGTAGGGTGTCAATGTTGGCATCTTTAATCTCGTTTAGGAATGTATTCCAGTCCAGTGGCACTGGAAATGTTAGGTCTCTCAACGTTCATGGAAGCACATCCTGAAATTGTTGAATCAGGATAGGTGTGTTGTCTACTCCTGCATCCTGTACCAGTTTCCTCAGTGTACCATGGAAGTGTACATGTGACCATGTCTCAATTCCTGTAACTGTGATGCATTCTACTATTTCTTCCTCCTTCATGTGTATCGCTAACAACTCTTTCTGGTATTCCAGTTTGGTCTTGTCTGCCGCAACTATCACCGGCCATTTGGCAATAAACACTATTCTGACAGCTAACCAGTTGACCTTGTGCGCTGCATCAAGGTTTATCCACCATAGATCTGCCTAAGATCCCACAGAGATAAGGGTGCTGAATAGCACCACTTTCACTGCTTTATCCTTGATTCCATTGATTAAGATGTACATCTCTGTACCCCGCAGGAAGTTCTGTACATTTTCACTGTTTCAACCATGGAATAGCGCTGGTGGACCTGTAGTGTTAGACATTCATGGTGTGGTGATGGGTGCTGGGCGCAGTGAGGTGAGTTTCTGTGATGGTACTGTGGCTTGTGTTGCCCTTGGCTTCACTGGTGTTAATGCTGGTGGTAGAGGAGGTTCCCTTGGTGGGCTTGGTGGTTCTACCGGGGGAAACTGAAAATTCTCTGTTTCTTCACTGTCCTCTTTTTCCTCGTTATCGTTATTGAAGTTTGGAAGGGTGATTGCTGATGGATCTAGTGCACCTGTTAATGATTCTTTGTCATCTGCCAATTGCCATATTACTTCGTGCTCTGACTCTTCGTGCTCGTGCTCTAGTGCTCGCTGATTGATCTCTGGTGTATCTAGGGGCAATGAATCTGAGGAAGGTAATGTGGTATTGGAAAGTTCTCCATTGCTGTGCTTTTTCTTCAGAAATTGTCCCTTCTTGTCTCTAGGTGAGAGTTCTTTTCGAGGAGGCAGTTTGGCTATACTGTGGGTTTCAGTGAAAGATTCATTATCATACTGATTAAATGCTATGCTTGGTGCTCTCTCCTTGTGTTCTGACACAAGGCTTGGCATTCTTCTAGATTTCAATTTTGACTTCTAGAAGCTTTGGGTTCTGCTCTGGCTCTGGCTCTGGGCTCTACTCTGGACTCTGCTCTGGACTCTGCTCTAGGTTCTGCTCTAAACACTGTGCTTTGGGCTCTACAGGGAACCAAGGAATGACTTGGTTGAAACAATCTCACTCTGTTCACCAGTTGGAGTAGCCAAAACCACACTCTCTATGGGATGGACAGAAAGATGTGCTATGCTACCCTACTACATCCAAGCTCTATGCCTACACTACAAACACTGCCAAATACTGCCAAACCTCACCTACTGCCTGACCCCCTGCCTAGGGGCCCCCCACTCCAGTGGTACTAGCTGTAAAGAAGTCCTGTGCATCACTGTGGCTCAAACATACAATATTGCAACGTCAAGCCTGTGTCCTTCAAATTCAAACTTTGTACAGCCATCCAGCCACCCCTTTGGTGTTGTCAGGCAATTCGAACATTTCAGGTATTTCCCAACAGAGATATTGGGGCCAAGCATAGGTGATATCTGCAGACAAGCTGAGGAAGTGCGAAACAGGATCATTCCTCAGCTGGCCATATAAATGGTAATTTTTTTTTCCATCCATTTATGTCCTTTGCAAAGTACTACTCTATGTAGGACAATTCAATCTAGTCTATAGGACCTCCAGTGTCCTTATCACATCTCTCAAGATGCGTGAATGTCCTGGTGTAGGACGTATCCCACTGGTCTGTTGTTACTGCCAGCCGTTTTGGATGCGCCATCCATCATGATGAGATGACCTTAAGAGTACATGCAATATTGTGTATCTATCTGGTGCATAACTGAACATGTACTCAGTCGCACAAGGCGAACTAGTACAGGAATCAGATGGGATGAATATGACATGGACAGGTGTGAACTTGGTGTCCATTTAGTCAGTGCCCTTGTTTTGACGGGTGATTCCATGTAGGTGAGTGTTTGGTGATGTACAGGCGGTGTGACAATCATATTGGCGCTAGGCATGTATACCTGCATAAGCCTTCAATAGGTGGACCAAAGTTATCCCTCATATTATTCACTACTCCCCTATCAGCAGTCTTCACTTGCCTCAGCCATAACCCTTGTCCGACGCTATTCCGCACTTTCCCGCACTATGCGCACACATTCCCACAGCACTATTCACACTCCCACGACTTATCTGACACTATTCCTGTGCTTATAGCGCTATCAGAACTACCAGCAATGTGTCTATAGGAGCATTAGTGCATGTCCACTCTATCTAGCGCTTGTTCCCACGCTTAGCGCTTATCCAGCGCGCTGTTTTCGTGCTCTAGGATCCACCCGAAACATTGGAATCCATCCATGGTCCATCCTACCTCATTGGTATGTAATTTGCCTTCCCTCGAGTTTGTAAAAAGTGCTACAGTCTTATTACATGTATATCCTATCCCTTCCGAGTCCGAGATGGTATAGTTTACTAGTATAAGAAGCCTATGGTGACTACTTCGACATTACTTCCCTTCAACTGTATTTCCTTCCCTTAGGTTTTACTTAGAAGTAGTCACCCTTTAGTTGCACTCTATGGCCCCTATTTGACTTTCCTTACTTGCAATCAATACCCTTGATCACACTCGCTATCCATTACCCTCCTTTGACTCAGTGTCCGCTTTCCTGACTTCTGCTCTTTCCCGCGCATTAGCGCTCTATCTTGCGACGTGCTATTCCCACGCTCTAGCGCTCTTTCAGGTCTTTCGATCTTGAGTTGTCCTTAGTAGCTTTTCCCTCAGGTCAAACATTCTTGCTTTATTGTTTGCAAGTATAGCAGCATAGGCAGAGCATTAGACATATACTGGCTGAGTACCTTAACAAGTGCCTAGTCAGGTTGTGTTTTTCACAGTGGTATAGGGAGGGGAGGGGTGTGGACAGGGCATGGTGATACAATTGATATTCACTGGTATAGAACACTTTGCCGAGTAGTGTGGTACAGATGCTAAGCTGAATGTGGTTTCTGGTACCCTGTTGTCAGTGACCAGTTGGACCTTACTCAGTTCTTTCAAGTTTCTCCAAACCCTGCTGTAACATGGTCAGACTGCCACCCGCATAACCATTACACCAAAAAATGAAATATTGAAAACTTAACTTTCAGCATCAGTGACAGTATATATACTGATTATGGGAACTCAGGTACAGTGTGTTGCATATCAAACTGCAGTGTGAATTTATGAACAATTTGGCCTTGCTGCCTTTACCGGGACTTTTGTATCTAAATGTGGTCAAGCTCGCGGAAAGTATGACACTACTTTGCCTAAGTTGGATGCAAAAGCCCCGGTAAAGGCAGTGAGGCCAAATTTTTCAAAAATTCACACTGTGAGCCAGTGTGCTTACACCTGCACAGAAAAAGTCTGAACACCCTCACGTCATTCACAATGAAAAGACCCCAGGCTCTGCTCGACATGTTCACTTCAGCTTAATGCTGTGATTATTATTGAATGGATAGTAGTCTAACTGACAAAACACAAGCATAGCTGAAGGACAAGGTCGAAACTAACAAATTTGCATTGCCAGCACTATACCATCCCACAAGCTTCATTACTGAAGATATATGGCACACATGTCCAGCTACCACAAACAGCAATGAGCATTCCACTGACTGTTTGGTAGCTGAGACACAGGCTACTGTGCGGTTGGAGCTTGCACGTATTGAAGCTGCAGAACTTGAGTCCAGTACAAATATATCTCTTCATACAGATGTCTCTCCCTCCGTTTTAATCAGCTCTGGAATTGATTTAAAAAAACCACAGTATATGGCCTCGCTGGTAGCTTGTGCATCCATGACGATTACTAATGTGTCATAGGTGATGCTCGCCTCTCAAGATTGCCGCACTCGGCATTCATGCGACTGATGACCAACTCACCAAGATCCAGCAGCATATCAACTCGCTACGAAGGAAAATAGAAAGTTGGCAAGATATTCAGCTACTTTACATGCTGTTTGTGTCTCTCCTGGTCACCAGTGAAGAACCATGTTCCCCCTCCAATTCTACACCTGTCGAGGCTCTCCAGTTATGGTTACCATCTGCAATTGGCCCTGGTACGCAGTGTGCGGCGCAACTTCATATTTTCGAATGGAAGTTATGCTACACTCAAGCAAATGATGCCTTAAAGGACATCCGGAATCTTCTACATCTCCGATCCCACCTATACAAGTTCAAGGATAGCAATATTATTGGCCAGGCAGCCAACACCCACACAAGAAGTACCATCAACAAGGCTGATGCCAAAGTCAACATGGCCGCTGAGCATTACAAAGCTGCAAGGGCAGCACTTGCAAGTTTGGCACCAATTCTCAATGAGGATCAGACATGGAAGGAGATCTTCAAGCCTCTCAATTGGAGCAAGGACCTGAAAGCATTGAAGGACATGTGGGAGAAGGAGATGGAGGGGACATGACATCTCTCGTGGATTTGGAAGATGCCAGGAGTATCAGAGAATGCCAGTGTTGGCCTGCACGATGATAAGGCTTGCATTATTTGTTGAAGATGCTCTAATTTTTACACTGTTTTCAGCACTTTGTATCAAATGGTGTAAGGCTCAGGCACGTGTGATGGGATGGGATGAGGAGGTCGACTTGCTGAAGGAGGAACAACAGCAGGTCGTAGCATTCTTAGACTGGCAAGCAGATTGGTGGTGGAATCAGCGAGAGCACCATGACTTGGAGTCCCTAGATGACACCTTGAGGGAAGGTTTGGCAGCATATGCTGAACGCCAGGCCTCACTACGTCGGCAGTTGTCAACTCATTTCCAGATCTTGTGGACTCCTCCTACCCTCCCAACACCATCTGCAGGCATGATAACATAGACTTGTTTTACTTTGGTCTATGTACTGTATATGCTTGTACTAGTTGAATCTATGTTTTTTGACAGACATACTGCTGGATGGCTGTCTGTGCGCATGGTCCACAACTAACTGTGTCATGCATGACGTGTGTTCACAGTCCACAACTGACTGTGTCATGCATGACGATGACGAATCATGCAAGGCTGTAGATACTATGTATGATACACATCTTCTGCATCATGCATGACTTACTGACGTGCATAGCAAAGCACTTGGATCATGTAACGGTGGCGCTGTCCAACAGCCCCCGTCCAATATCTGCTGCATTTATCTCATCTTGTTTCTGTCATGCTCCTAACTACGCTCATTTACTTATCATTCCCCCTGATCACTCATTGTCTCACTCGGCCAAGCACTCTGTTACCCAACCTCATACTTATACTTTGTTCTCCCGTGTTTGCCCGGTGTCAGACGTACCCCGACCTTAAATACCGTCCTTAGTCGTAGAGTTACACTAGTGTTGTTTGAACCCCCAGAATTCATACTTTGAAACTGTCTTTATTGTTTGAACATGCTCTTCTCTATTGTGCCATTGTCTCCGAGCCTCACAGCTAAATAGTCAATGTCACAGATCGTGCCATGCATGGAAAGTGCTTGTATAATACAGCAAGACTCTATGTACACCATGCATGAATTACATACTAGGATAGAAGTAAAACATGCATGAGGTCTATACTACAGTAACAGTTAGATCATGCATGAGTACCACAGCATCAGGTGTCATGGAGTGAAGGAGGTGGAGTGGATGGAACCTCGAGGCCTTGTGCAGCAAGCGACGCCTTGAGAGCTTGTTGGAGGTCCTCATATCCAAACCCCTGGTTATCCGCAAGCAGTTCAGTCTCAAGTGCAGAGCCCTCAGAGAGAATTGGATTCTCCAAAGGCTCAGAAGGGGGCCCGTAGTCAGCCCGGCCACATTCACGCTCAGATTCATGGTTCTGCTCATTCTCGCAGTCATTGCTCTCCGTCAAGTGAAAAACACATCCCCCAGCTTCAATGCAGTGCATGAGGCACATCCCACGCATGCAACACAAAGCATGAGCTCTGCAACAGAAGGCACCAGCGCACAGTGGACCTCTCTTGCATAACTTCTTTCCGAGTGGTCCAGAGATGGGAGTCGAAGCAGGTGGTTGTATCGACAAGCTCAGGGGCCACTGGCAGCAGGAGAGTAGATGAAGGACTCGTTGATGGATATGGCAAGGGGGTCGGGGACTGGCTGGATGAAGGAATGATTGCAAGGACATCAGGTAATTGGAGGAGCTCGGGGAAGAATCTGAAAAATCAACATCACGCATGCTAATAGCAAAGAAATTAGTTGGAGGCAAAGATGCAAAGCAGCTGACACTTACCCTGGCCATAGGCTTCCCTGCATTGCCATTCTGGTTGCTCTGACATATTGTAAGTGCGACAGCGCTACCACAGCCAGTGCAGTCAACAGCCAGACCAATGCTGGTCATGCGCCACAGTATGCTGGGGATATTGGGCAATCAAAGGGCGGGACTGGATGATGTGGCGCCCGACATGGCGCCCATGGTTCAAGTATAGGTGGCGGGCAACGAGGGAGGTGGCGGGCAAACAAGAGAGGGTGGCAGGAGGGACTGCAGCCAACAAGAGAGGTGGCATGCAACAAGGGGGACAGAGAGACGCACGCTCCAAGAAAGGTGGTGGGCAAACGAGAGAGATGCAGGAGGTACTGCAGGCAATGAGAAAGGTGGCGGGAGGGACTGCAGGCAATGAGAAAGGTGGCACTCAAATGAGAGAGATGGTGCACAACAAGAGAGGTGGCACACAACGAGGGAGACGGTGGGCAATGAGGGAGGCGGCAGGCAAACGAGAGAGGGCGGCGGGATAAGATGATCAGTGGTTATGTAACACGGCAGGCAGACAGACCTTTGGCGGCTAACAGACCTCCCCGGTAACTCCCGGGTAACGCTGACAAAGACTTGACACAGACCTAGACACAGACGTCTGCGCAGACCTCACAGACTTCCCAATACCCTGACTTTCTGCAGCTTTGAACGTCCCTATTCTGACCCATTTTACAGCCACAAGCAGGCTTCGCGTTTTCAAGGAGTCGACTTGAAAAGATATTCATTACTACACGCTAAGATACAAATGACACGACATCCGAAGACGAACTACCATGTCAGTAATGAGAGCGGTATATATGGGAACGGTTTGGGAACGGTACGAAGTGGAGGGAAAGACATTGATGAGAGGAAGTCAATGACAACAGATGTCATGGAGGAGCAAGCATGCAAAAAGTGAGGACATTTAGACTTTGAAATTTTGATAAAGAGACTCGGAAGATCGAACCGACACAGTAAAGGAAGGGAATTCGAAACATGCGGGGAGCAAGGACTTATCTTGAGGCCGTTATATACCGCTCGATAATAATCGCAGCATTAAGCTGAAGCGAACATGTCGAGCAGAGCCTGGGGTCTCTTCGTTGTGAATGACGTGAGGGTGTTCGGACTTTGTCTGTGCAGGGTTGGAGAAACTCGAAAGAACCGAGTAAGGTCAGGTAAGGTTCGACTGATAACAGGGTAACATGAACTCCCTTGAAATTCGGAAATGAACTTATCATCGGGCTACTTTGAAAACGCTCTAGGTGACAACAGAGCCCTCCTAGTATCACTATCAAGACTATAAAAGTGGGACCGTCAACCATCGCTGAAATCAGGAATCAAGACTTGCTCATCCGAAGAGTCAACAATGACAAAATCAGCAGTGGGTGCGATTCTGGCTGTCGTGCTTGCTGCTGCATCGTACATGACAGCGTCGCCGCCTGGAGCAGTTGTGCGTCGACTGTTGCAATTCTGCAGTGTTACATCTGAACGTCTGCTTCGCGAGTCGCAGTACATTGACCCTCTACTGTACAATGTTCAAGTTGTGGGAGCAAACTACACAAAATGGCGCAACTCGTCTGCTATTGGCTTTAACCCCACCGACACTGCACCACCATTCATTCAGGTATTTGACCGCTCATTCCTCGATATCACCGGACCATCTGCCACCATTCGCAAAATTGCTTCGAATCCTGGCTTTGCTTTTGCCCATGAAGCACCCATCTATGTTCAAGACCTAAACTTGGTCTTCTTTGCGAGTAATGATGGTGGCGCACTTGCATACAGTGGATGGTATAACAACAGCGTTGTTAGCATGATCAATATGACAGAAGTCGACATGGCGCTGGCTTCTACGACCGGAGATGTCAATATTCAGGTTCAAACAGTGAGTCGCTCCCGCTTGGTCATTGATGCTTAACCGCCATGGCTTTCAGCTCAACCTCTCCGATAATGTCCAAATGGTCAACGGGGGAACAGGTCCATACAAGGGAGACCTTCTGTTCGTCACCTCAGGTCGCGCTTTGCTTCCTCCTTCTATTGTTCGCGTCAATCCCAGCCCTCCCTACAATGCCACTGTTATTCTGGATAACTTTTTAGGCAGGCAGTTCAACTCGCTTAATGATATCAAAATTCTCCCTGGCACGGACATTATGTTCTTCACCGATCCCACGTGAGCAATCGATAATATCATCATATCCACAATGCTAATGGCTTCTTCAGCTACGGGTGGCTTAACGGTTTCCGTCCTGAACCAATGCTACCATCACAGGTATACCGATTTGATCCGTCCACTGGACAGGTCAGAGTTGTCGCTGACCAGTTTGTGCATCCGAATGGCATTGCATTCGCTCCCAATGGCAAAACTGCATTCGTGTAAGTTTTGGTTTTTTCTCGCATCTGTTCATAAATCCTAGAATAACGCGTTAGCACCGACACGGGTGTTCTTGGAGCCTTGTTCGGAACGAACCAGACCTTTCCAGCCACAATGTGAGTTTTTCCGCCTAGCGTGATGGTAATCAGATACTCAAGCAAACTCTAAAGCTACCAGTTCGACGTTGACCCAACGACACAGTCGTTCATGAACCGTAGAGTGTTCGCCTACATTGACTCCGGTGCACCAGATGGCATTCAGCTTGATACCAAGGGCAACGTTTATTCCGGTTGCGGGGATGGTATTGAGGTCTGGAATAGCGAAGGCACGCTCATTGGAAAGTTCTTCCTAAACAGCACCACAGCCGAGCTGATGTTCACGAAGTCTGGTCTTGTTATTTTGGAGGAAACGGCGATGTATTTGACAAACATTCAAGCTCATGGAATGACTCTAGTCACGTGGTAGCTTTCTGTGTACCGCTATACCTGTTGCGAATTTGATGTGTATGATGGGATACCCATACAGTGAACGTCGTGATCACTGACATTTGCGCTTTCAACTTTTAAAAACTATCCTGTGTCCGCATCACTAATTATTCCAGGAAACATTTTCAAGTTCAGCTGTATCCTGATGGCCCCGCCCAGTGCTTGGTTCGTGCATTGGAATGGGTGCCTTTGTGCGTACTTGAATGTTCACACATTCCTGTCATCGAACTTAATGGTTGCCTCATACCACAGGCCCAAGTTTTTCAGGTCCGACACACAATTACTGGTCAAGTGGTACTAGCCGTAAAGAAGTCCCGTGCATCGCTGTGGCTCAAACGTACAATATTGCAACGTGAAGCCCGCGTCCTTCAAATTCGAACTTTGTGCGGCCATCCAGCCACCCCTTTGGTGTTGTCGGGCGATTCGAACATTTCGGGTATTTGCCAACACAGATATTGAGGTCGAGCATATGTGATATCTGCGGACAAGTTGAGCAAGTGCGAAACAGGATTGTTCCTCAGCTGGCCGCACAAATGGTGACCTTTCTCATTGTATCGTTTACATATAAGCCTAACCTTCTGCTTACCAGCTTTCGGCCTTGACTCGGAAGCGCGTGCACCTTATCCATCGTGACATAAAGCCGAATGACATCCTACTCTGTCCTACAGATCATCAGACCATTCGCATTATTGATTTTGGCATAGTATGTTAGTACCGCGCGCAGCCTGTACCCGGAGTCGGCCCCAGGAAGGAGCCTGAACGTATTTTGAAACTTCACCTTATGCGATTTTACATGCGCACCGAGGCTTGGGTTGGTCAAATTATCCTTGCAATTGGGTACTGAAACAAATTGCACAGGGGCAGCTGAGACGAGACGAGACGACCTTGAATCTTTGGCTTACGCTCTTTTCAAGATTCTTCGAGGCCGCTTGCCCTGGAATAAAATAACCACACACAAGCTCGGCGCGTGGTGAAAGACGTCGAGTTCTTGCAAAACGGCAAGCTTGGTCAGGTGCGAGGTTGACAAAAGGCTACGACACTGATCCCTCGATGAAATACGTAGTCTGGGATTTATTGAAAACCCCTGTTATAATCGGTGGGAACTAGTGTTCACAGGTATCTCGGGTCGACAAGAAGGATTTTTTACCATTATACTTTGGCCCCAATGATATTGCAGGCAAGGTATTATTTCTGATCGGGTTCTTGAAAGCTCACTCACCGTATCGATATCAGCCTCGGGATGCTTCTCTCGATGGTGAGCTGGATTGTTTTGCGTGTGATTTGATCAAAGAACAATTTCCTATCAATTATATTTAGACGCTCGATAATAACCACAAAACGGACGCGCTACGAGCTTCCCGATACCAACTGCCCATCACCAGAGTTCTCTTTCTCCATTTTAGAAGGGTTGTATGCGAAGTCGGGCTGTGATGTGTTGAAGATAGTCCAGGATCGACATGCTTCTTTCGGGAAGAATCCTGACCACGGTTTTGACGCGTTCGTGAGGTGAGTGATGCGACGGAGTTACTACAGCGACAGGGAGACTTGTCATAACATCTGTGAAATCGGAGTCAACAAACCGATTGAAGGTCTTATTAACTGTCGAGAGGACCAGCATCCTTCAAGTTCGGCAGGTTGCAGATAGAGTCTATGGAAAGCAATAGCAGAATAGTGTGGCTGGCAGAACTTGGCCTAACTCCAGGGCATCCGAGACTCACGGAGATATAATTTAGATATGATAACACAGATGGTCTGAATTCAATAGAGCACTGTTGACTCGCCCGGGCCCAAGACGCTGTAAAGTTTATGTTAACTGACAAAGATCTGTATGGTAAGAAAAAGAAATTAGTATTCTCGGCACCTGCCAAGTGCTACCAGTTTAGCCTGCAGAACTGCTTCAAAATAATTCTGCCCGCAACACTAAGCTGCTGCAGAAAGTGATAAAGATGAACGTTGAAACGTTGACGCTGAAGATCACGTCGTCGATCAAAACTCGGTGATACCTCAAAAGTCCACGTGGCTCTGATATTTCTAAATTTAAACATCATATCACGTGTACATTACCCTGAGAATGAGAATCTGCTCTTGATCCTACTAGTCCGTCTATCGACGGCTTGCCTCATGCCCTTGCCTCATGCATGCTCGCGCCGACGTACTAGCTCCCGACTGGTCAACGTTAACAGCGGCCCGGTCACGTGATGCATAATATCTCGATCTTGCTGTGCAGCCTGTGGAAAGAGTTCTCGAATTGTCATAATGGCAACAGCTTTCGATCAAGAAGTTCCTCGCAATGTTCACTTCGACCATTCCTAGAAATATGCACCTCCACTGATATTTCTTGTGCCCTGGATAATTATTTAACACGTGGGATGAGACAAAGATAACCGGGGGGCCGCTGTCTGATATTGTCTGGATTCCTTCTTTGTTCTAAACCTCCAATATTCCTTTTGATCAACGGAGATCATGTCCCGGACGATGAATTCTTCAGGCCAGCGCGCACCTGGGCATAGCCGACAACGATCAAGGACTTCAAGTGATCCTGGGCATCCATTCGTGGCACCGCCGTTCAAAACGGCGTGGCCTGCACCAGCGCGTAGGACGACAGAGCCTATGAATGTCCCCTACCGGACCCCCTCACGAAACTCCTCCGTAGAACGCATGGGGGACCCATTTGTCCCCTCACCAGGATCTCTGCTTGCACAGAGGGAGGTGTACTCCTTGACGAACCCTGCCAATCCAATATCTCCGGGTCCTATCTCTCCGTCACATCATCGGAGCTCTTCTAGACAGAGTAACATGTCTCAAGCCCCCCTGGTACAGGATGTACCCCAGCCGCCTAGAACGGCACTCAACACACCTCCGGTGATACCCACACCACAGATACCACCGTCCCATGTCCCAAGCTTCCCTGTTCCCCAGCCAAATTCCCCAGCCTTTACTTCGGCTTATCAGCATCCATACTTCCATGGGACGGAACATCAGGGATCCAGTCCCAGCATCCGACAGGGTGTGAACCAGGGTGTGAATGCAGCCCAGAATACACGTCTGGGAGCACACCCAGGCACACAGAATGCACATCATGGCATGCAGCAAAATAGCTTCCATCACAGTCATAGCGGCTCTCATCATGGTACACAACATCGTTCTCGTTCTCATTCGCGCCCTCCAAGTGCAGCATCGCACAGATATGCGTCAAATATCACCCAGCCTATGTATGGTCATGGTAGTTCTGTCACTCCGAACGGATCGCGCACCTCTCTCAATGGTACACCTCCCAAGAACCACTTAGCAGCTGCTGCACTCAGTCATCAGAATGCATCATCTCCTGACATGTCCTCTCCCTCGAATCGCCCTTCACTCAACTCAGGCCCATCCAGCAGCCGTTCACGGCGCCACGGCCGCACAGTCCCTGCTGCTCAACCAGCATCAAGGAAACAAGAGGCTCGTCCTGAGCCACCCCCTCCTATTCCCGCAGAACAGCTTCAACGCACAACGCAGCGCCAGCCGCGGCCAAATATACCTGCCGGACAAGTGCAGACTCGCTATATGAACATGCTTTTGGCACTTAGTGACATCCCGGAAATATTCAACATGATGGCATCTTTTTTTCACGTGGATCCTGCTTGCAGGATTTATTTTATTTCCTGGAACATTTACGTCTTTGGAACAGGAGCAACTCAGCGGTGTGGGAGCACAACTGCTGGACGTAGTTTCTAATATTCCACTGTGAGTGATGGTCAAAACCACGGGAATTGGAGTTGTTCACCAAACGCCTATAGTTATATCGTCGCATGGGTTTGTACCGGTATTGGCGGCGTCGGTATGATTTGGTTGTGGTGGAGATGGCAATTAAATTATATCTGGATTGTGACTCGTATCTTTGTGTGAGTGGAGTATAGTGTCGCCAATTGACTGACGAATTGAGCTTTTGAGTAGGCCTGGCCTACTCAATTCGCTCGCTGGTGTCATCTCAGTACTTTCCAATATCTACGGCGTACAGCATGGAACTTACAGCACAACAAGCAAGTCAGCAATTATTGTAACAGTTGCGGTTGCAGTCGTATGTGGATGTCTTATTCTCCTTTATCAGTTTTGGTTGCTGCGCAATCTCAAGAAAGAACATGACAGAGAAGTTGGTGTGGAGTATGTTGGAAAGCATGGCCAAGGCATTATGGGGGGTGAAAGGAAGTAGAGTGCAGTATGAAAACTATTATGGACAATTTGATGGACATTAGGTAAATATTACGGGTTATTGGGATTTTATATGGACTCACTTGGTTGTAAGCTAATACAAAGACAACCCACAAAGTTAGTTGTTCAGATAAGCACTAAGTCGGTGCGTCTTACATACAACGATCTCATTCATATCCGAGCAGGCGGCCTGCAAGCTGCCTGACAAGTAATGTCGCAACTGCCTGTACAAAATTAGCAGCCTACATAATTGGACTGGGTGTCGCATGTATACCTGCGCATACCTCGGAACTTCATTTTAAGTCAAGGTCAAACAAACGAATGGCAAGAGAAATGTTTGAATTGGATACAACGCTGGGGCGGTTAAAGCATGGTGACTATGAGACGCTCAATATCCGAGCAACACTAGCAGCCACATCTGATGATGATAGATCGTCCAGCTCAACGTGTTTCTCAACTCCGCGTTCTACGGAAATACAAATTAATACAGCCATGCATAAATTTGTCCGAGGACACGAGCATTACACGCACCAAATCGTGCAAACATCCGCGCAGGTGTGCCGTTTGCCTCCCGTATCATGACGGGAAGGTCCGGGTTGTGTTTCTTGATGACTGGGTATGTGGACAAGATGAATTGCCTGCAGACATGATCATTAAGTATATGAATGACTGTCTTGTGTTCAGAAACCATGAACTCACCGCGTGCCCGCCGAAGCTTGGTTTGACTGGCAGCAAAAGATGCGAATTTCGCGGAGAGCGGGAGACAGTGTTTTTGCAAACGTGGACATGGCAGGAATTGAACAGGATCAGGTCACAGCCAATATTAAGACGAACAACGTTTCTGCAACGCTTTCTTGATGCAGGTCCGACGGGTTTGTTCGTAGAACGGGTGCTTACGTAATAATCTGAACAAGCATGGTTACAGCATGGGAATTATATCTTGTTGGTTGTCTTGCCCGCCAATTCCACCCTCGCTGATTGTGACGCCAAGAGGTTCCCGGTGAGCTCCCTCCGCCAGTATGGACGACGAGCAGAACAGACAACAAGAAGACTGGCTCAACAGCCGCAAGAACAGGCTGCCCTCTTTCACAGAAGTCCTCTCTAGAAGGACGCGACCACCCGTGGATTTATTCATGTTCTAGTAAGTAGTGCTTATGCTTGCTTGAGTATTTGAACAGTCTCTTATATCATGTTAAATGAAGCATTTTCCTCCAACGAGAAGGTGCAGAAGATATCCTGGACTTTTGGTTGGATGTCCAGCAGCACGAGAACCTTTGCAGGGCATATTTTAAAGATGTCCGAAAGTCAGGTCGGACAATCAAAGAAGATTGGCCTCAGTACTGGGAATATGCACGCCGTCGTGGGTCAATATATGGCACAGTTGTTGGACTTCAGCCCAATGCCGTAAAGCGAAGTACGACGAGCACAGCCGACATGATCAATGACCAGGAAAAAAATGCTATGGCTCACCCTGCTGACGAGAAGCGCGGTGGTCTGCGTTCTACAACGCCTGGTTATGAAAAGGAGTACATCCCATCCCTCCCACTGTTGTGAATAGTCCAGATCTTGATCAACCACGGTCAACGACACCTTTCTCCCTCTCAGGACGGACATCAGCCCTTTTCAATCTCAAACGCGCATCGCGTGCGCCAACGTTCATTCCACGTTCTGCTGCAATTAGTCGTATGGACCTCATCGCGTCCGCCGAGCGCATCTTCTTCCGGTATCTCTCTCCCGTTGGCACCGTAAATTCGCCGGAAAATCACGAAATTTACCTTCCTCCTGCCCTCCGTATACACACATTTCCCCTCAGTAGCACTCAAGAGCCGAAATCACAGAGCGACCTGAACATGATGGCACATATTCCTGATATGTTCCATTCCCAGAAGGAGTACTGCTTCAGGGCAATGGAGCAAGATGCTTTTCCGCGTTTTCTGAGGAGTAAAGCGTTTGGAAACCTCACTCCCGTGTCTGCATTAGTCCGACTCGTTGTCGGTCTCATTTTGCTGTGGATCGGCCTTGCCGCCGGCTTCGCCCTGATATTTCTCGATGTACAACCTAAATCAAAGCGATTTTTCGTGCGTCCCATCTGTTTAGTGTGGTTCGGTGTCTAACGGATTGTTTGCTTTGCAGCTCTTCATTCCTTTCACGTTCGCAATTTTATTCCTTATCTCACATCAATACGAACTCGACCCGATCCTCATTTTCCTCGGACAGTCGGAGTCAACACCATTCCGCATGCTCACTATCCGCGAGCCGTATGTGAAGAGATTACTACTGGGTCGTGCCATCTGGGTTACGACTCTTGTCTCCATTTTCGTCGTAGCGCTCACACTCCTTTTCTGGGCTGTTCCTGGACATCGGCTATAGCGAGTGGGACAAGCAAAGAGTTACTGCGTCTCTGTACTTATCGGATGGACCCCTTTTGGAAGGGTATTCAATGTATGATGCTCACAGAGGAGAGCGAGTTGGTCGATATTGTTGATTTTACGCTTGGGTGACACAAGACTTTGATAAGCATTTATCTTCAGCTATTCGCCTACTCCCTCTTGCACCCCGGTCTAGTTCCACCTCCTAATACTTCTCATTCCGTATTTCGCTATCATTTTACCTCTTATACTCCACCAGTCCACCTTAGCTTCATCATCGCTGCGCTGTGATGTTATTTTGTTTTCCTCATTTCCCTAAAACCTTTATGACCTTTTTATACGTACGTACGTGGTAGGACGTTAGGAAGTTAAACTCGTATCTTTAATGACATGTTTATGGTTGTGGTTATGCTTGATGTCATGGGTGAAGTTGATTGACAAAAATTTTAGATTTATCGAATCCTGCTGGTGGCTTTCACCTACTGAGTTACAACTCAAACCCTTGACCCCGTGTCTTCTTTGTACTATTACTAAAAGGAGTCGGGACTGTCTCCCTTCCTCAGACTACTTTAGACGGTCGACTGGTATTATGGTAATTGAAAGACACGCAACCTATTCACTTCGGACTGATTTGAACTTGGCATGGCCTCTCAGCAAGGCCGTGCGCTCGCGACCTACGCGTGAAAATTTCAATAACTTACTCAGTAAGCAGGTTGGATTCGCAATTGATTCACAACGGTTCAAAATCTTTAAGTCTGATTGTAGTTTTTTTTCACTCTTCAGCAGCGATCCTACAACGGTCCGAGTCTGACTAGTGTTAACGTTTGGATCGAGTCGATCTCTGACGAGATCGGTGCATAGAATCACTGCTGGGACCTCCAGCTGGCATAGAACTCTTTCACAGCCGTTCCGAGGGAGATCAAAAACAATAAGTTTTGAATAAAACAATTGCTCGATATCCGATGGTATCGCCAGCGCTCTTTTCATAAAGTTACTCCCCACGAACGGCAAGGCTTTCAAGGTTGATGTGGACAAGTGCGTTCGCTCATCTTGCTTTCGGTGTAGCGAACACCGCGAGTTCCATGCACCCAACAAAATATACAGTGGTGAACAATATCCGCCGTGCTAGTAGAACGATGACGTGTGTCTGCTTCTGCCCACGACGGAGCTCATCAAGTCAAAAACGCCACGCCTCCAAAAGCGGACACCCACCCGAGCAAAACACCAGAAGACCTCTGGACCTGTGAATTTTGTAAGATTGGCCATATAAGAGGGATCGTATTCTAAACGGTCGAGCACCATCAACAGCTTTCAAACTAACCATCATGCGTCGCGCGCTTCTATTCGACGATCTCCATCCTACAACATGTGACGTCTTTGACGGATTTAATAAAAATTTCCAGGACGTGCTCAACAGTTTTTGATCCCCCGCTCAATATACTCTGGCGTGAGCAGTCGAGCCTCACGCCCCTCATCATGCGTCTACCTGAAGACACCTGGGAGATCCGAGAGAATTGTTACATTGTGGGTTTCATGCGATATGGGACAAGGCACCGCTCACCGTGCTCCAATTTGTAGCACTTTACCCGCGAGCCCCTGCCTATGGAGTGGGAGCGCGTTTGAAGGAATGCACCAATGATACGCCGGTTGATTTGCAAAAAGCGTTACTGCCTTTTGACGCGTCTTCCAAAATTGGATAGCCATGTTGTCCAGCAACTTTTCACGCTTTTCGCGCCCACCGAGCTCTTCCCCAACTTGTATGCATTGCATTTCGACGCAGTGTTTAATAGGTTGCAGTGTAGCTCGGACTTCTGGCCACTTCGCCGGTTCTTCTCGCCTATGTTGGAAAAACTTATTTTTAACGTAGTGTCAGCCTCCGCGGCGCACGAGGTAGAACAATTGGTTGGTGCTTTTGCAGCAGATCCCCCGGTCTCCGGCAACTATCAATATCGGTGCACCATGATAATGGAATTTGCCATTTTACGCTGCCTCGCAGTCTTAAAAGAATACCGAAATTAAATCGACTGGCGATAGGCGCAGTCGACGCGTGTCTGGCGATGCATAGCATTGCTAGTATCCAGCACTGGCGTGCTTTACACTTCCTTTCACTAGGATTGCAAGGAGAATCCGTTGCCATGGGAAATTCAACATCCATAGATATGCCGCTTAAATTGAATGCCCTCGAACGCCTCATCCTCTATGACGACTGTGCACGCCCATCCCTCTCCAAATTGTTACCCTCACGATTGGCGTGCTTAGAGGTGGAGTTCTGTAGACCTACTTTTCCGGAAGAAGTTACCGCCTTCATGCTATCCCTGGAGACGTGTTGCCAGACATTGCCAACCTAGAACACATCTGTGTTGGCTGCGGTTTCCATTGCGATCCTGCCTTCCACTCGCTCCCTTCTGATGTTTTTCGGCCCCCTACTCAAGTTCACAAGGCTGACTTTTGTTGATTTCATCGTCATTGGAAATTACTGTCTTGACGATGCTTTCATCGAGGACGCCGCGGTTGCTTGGCCGGGTATTCGTGTGCTGAGATTCATGGCGGAACATCAGACCGACATTCCCGCGGCCACCTTCGCCGCAATTCTGTCGTTCGCCACACGATGCACCTCATTGCGCACCCTTTTGAATTTCGATGCCACACTAGTGCCGACGCCTCCTCATGCGCTGGGCGGATACACGGACCTTTGGCTCAACCAAACAGCTCTTCGAGAGCTGCACGTTGGGCATTCCCAGGTGGCGACAGCAGCACTTGTCCCATTCTTGTTAGCAGCCGTGTTTCCAAATCTGGATGATATCAAATGGCATCAAACGCCCGGTGTTGACCATGATATGTTCGGTTGCACGAATTCCTGTGGGGCGAATTGGCAGAAGTATGGCACAAAGTGGTAGGCCAGTTGTCTATAGACTGTAGAGGTTACATTCATGCATATTGTGAACTGCTACCCATCTAACGAACAACCAGGTGGAGTAAAAAGTTGTACTGCCCTGTCATTCTAAGTGTTTACAAAACCCGAGGCTACCGTATACGGTTACTCGCGGTGCACTGCGGCATCGATATTCGATAAATCGGCAACATTGACCTTCGCCACCGAGGATGCGTCGCTGCAGTTGACCTTCGGTAACAACGGGACAGTCCTACTTCGCTGTATCTCTGCGCCCTTAGTGCCAAAGTATCTGAAAATTCAAGCAGAGTAAGTGATGATTTGCAAAAATTGGACTTGGTTGTGACCTTTGACTCTCGTAACTCCAACAGTGGTTTGCTCGAGCCCAGGTTGCTATCCCATCAAAATACTTGACGAGGACGTCGGTGCAAGTTCCAAACGAAGGGACCTGTGCAAGACCGTCGATAAACCGCTTCTCGACTTGAGTGTGATAGCGTGCTGCCCAAGCCATCGCACCGCTTCTATCGAGGCCAAGTTCCAACATGATAGCAGTGATCAAGTTATGGTTTTCGTCCCCAGTTGCTTGCTCTCTGTTGTACGAGGCCATGTCCTACAAAAGCCTTCAGTAAGCTATCAACTACGTCAAGAAGACAACTTTACGTTGTCGATCAAAATCAGTTCTACGATACATTCAACCAGTTCCGCGATGTTAGGATGGTAGAACACTTCGTCAGGAAACTCCATTCCCATTTCATATATTGCAAAAGCAGATTTGGCGCCACACGTGTCCCGTCGGAGCTTGAGATAATCATCGATACTTCGGCAATGACTATGCTCGCGGTCCCGAGCCTCGACAACTACTGCATGAAGGTATGCGGTGTAGCTATCAATGAAATGACGCTGAGAAGACAGGCTCGAGGTCTGGATTGCACGAGCCCAATATCTACACAGACACCTTGAACTTCATCATCAAACAATAAAATTTGGCGATACTTACCGTCGCACGATTTCACCCAAGATGCATTCACCTTCCGGTCGTATCTTATGGGGATGGTGTAGGGCATCGAGTACGATGTCCACCATTTCCTTAGTAACTGCCGCATTTTCGATGTCGGTGTACTCATCCACAATGAAGTAGACGTTTCATCAATTCACAGCCGATTCGGAGGTGTTCTTAAAAAATAAATGGTCAGTGGTGTATGGGTTGCCAGTGCTGAAGTACACACCTCTTGGTGCATTCGGATAAGCCAGTGCTGCTAGTCGGGCTATAAGCACATAATGTGTCAACCATTTTCAGGGTGAGAGCCAGATATTGGTCCAACCAAAATCACACTTGTCAAATGCCTCCTGTGACTCAGGGCTCAGAGCCTTGAAATCACGAAACGCAGCATCGACTTCAATTTTCACATCTTTGAAATGAGGGTTGATGGTACGAGGCCAGGGCCAGTTGACCATGGTGTCTGGGAGGTAAAACACTGACATCATCATCATCTTTGCATGAGCATCCATGATCTCCAAAATATGGTTCCCAAAGATCAGTGTGGGCGTTTAAAAGAGGGGAAAGATTGTCGCTGGTTAGTCCAGGACTAGCAGCAGAGCTTATATACCTCCTCAGTGTCAGTACTCGTCTTTGCCGCCACAATATATTGCTGTGTTCAAAGTTTCGGCAACTACGACTTCCAGTTGCCGGAGAGTAGGGGATTGGCGCTCACAAAGACCCCAACTCATCGGTAATGAAGCCCTGATAGGTCATGGTGTTCTAGACGAAACCAAGCAAGGCAAAAAATTAACGCCCGGACTGGGTCACGCACCATAATTGAAAACTGTACCCATGTTTACCAGGCCGTGTAGAGTTCGGCTCCACACTTGAATTAATTACTACTTACCCTTGGAGCCGATATAGCTATAAGGCATGTAAAAAACCCCTACGAAATGGATAACATCGAGTAACATGATACCGATGCCGCTCAGCCCACTCCGGCAGCCCGGCAGGGGTTGTATATCGTTTGCCCAGTTAGCAAGTCCATGTAAATACAGCGCATTTTCTGCAAAGTATATGTATCAGGCGCGCGCGCAGGTACGGCTAATCAATAACACTGCTCACGCGACAAGTGCCCGACTCCGGCTAGCCATCACTAGTACTAGCGGGCAATCAGACGATGAATAATGTGGATGAGCTTATGGGCATTGGGATTGGGCGACACGGTAAGAGATAAGATCTAGATATGAGTAGGTGAGCGGTTATGATAAAAATCATGTAAACACGGAACAAACAACAAACAGACGCGACGCCAAGAGGGGATCATCTCAATCAATTTTCAACCTGCACGCAGCAGCACCACCACCGTTGTACGGTCATATATAGCAAATACTTCCATCACTCATAACATTGTATGACAATTTGTATCCGAAAGGCATCAGTCAAAGTGAAGCTATGAAGCTTAGCGCTAGCGCCCAGCTGTGACCAGTCTCCTGACGTTACTCGTCCGAAAATTCTTGGTTCCTAGAAATTGCGTCACTTCAAGGTACGAGCATGCTGCATCGCTCCTTCAAGCCTATGCAAGACACCGAGGACTCGGAGCCCAATGCCCATCTTCGTTAGTTCCAACAGTAAGTTCTTCTTTCACTGACCCCGCGTCTCTTGCCTCCCAACGTTCATTCTCTCAATATAATAAACGCCCCGGTAGGTTATGCCGCCGAGCCGTGCAGTTTCTCACCCTTCACTAGCTCAAGGTGGGTGAAGGCGCTCGTTTGGTGACCGAAACTCACTACAATCTGAACCACCACTACACGAACCCAGGCGATGTCATCCAAAAAACAAAAGTAGGACCTGGAAGGTCCAAAAAATCAAAGGTGAGAAGGTACGTATCTAGATGTCACTGTATATCTCATCTATCATAGAAGGGCTCAAAACAACCCGCTCCTGAGACCGAAGGATCGCAGGACGACAGTATGAGTCAACTGCTGGGCGTCACTATAGCGGCCATCAATACTACCAAAGACCTTGTGCCAATCAATCTTGCGAAAGGCATTCTCGGAACAATTGCAAACATTCTGACTCTTGCGCAGGTGCGTTGACCTAACTCTTACAAAGATCAATAAAACCCTACCTAGCCTTACATCTATACAGTCAGTAATCAAGAACAAGTCCGATTTCCAGGTGATAGCCGACAAGTGCGAGACTATCAGAGAAATTCTTGGAAGGGCGACCAAGGACGCTACCGAAGACGATCTACGAGGACACTTGGGTCATGCATTATCCCAGCTTAACAAGTAAGCTGAACCGATTTCACTGTTGCCAGAATCTATTGACACTGTACAGATCGGTAAACCGCATCAACAGTGACGTAGCGTCATCGAAGGAGCAAGGGTTTTGGAGGAGGCTCTTCACTGTCACGATTGATCGTGACAAGATCACTGCATGGGAAAAAGACTTGGATCGTGTCCTCGGACTCTTCAATGTATGTCTGTGTAACTTCATCACGCTTTGCTGCTGAATGGTGTCGTCAGTTTGAAGCAATCACTGGCATGGGGATTGACATGAAGCTTGTAAAGAAGGCTTTAGAACTCATGGGCAATGATCCTAGTATTAATGCCCCAAAGTACGTTGTTATTTCCGGCGGGTTATGCATGTTCTCTAAATGCAATTAGGAATCGCCAGGTTGAGCCTCCACCACGACCTGCCATGCTGTATGGCCGCGACGATCTTGTAGCAGAGTTGACGAACCTCGTCGTCAATGATGAGCATTTGGCGTTGATCGGTCCTGGGGGCATGGGAAAGAGTTCTGTGGCTAAAGCCATCATCAACGAGCCACTCGTCATGGAGAAATTTGCCGATCGGCGCTTCTTTGCGACATATGATGGCCTGGATCCTTTGACCATAACATTCGAAACCTTTATGACTCGTTTCGCGAGAGCCCTTGGTATAGAGATCGCTGGCGCTGACCCCGTGCGCCAGATATCTACCTTTCTTCATTCTGGCAGCGCCCTTGTTATCCTCGATAATGCTGAAACCTTCGAAGAGGCCAGCACATCGTCGGCGCTCGGAGACATACCGCAAGCCATCGCTGACATGGCTAATATCCCTGGCGTCATCCTGATTCTCACATCACGCAGTAGAAGGAATGCGCCAAACGTGGAATGGATAACGAAGGATATTCCAGCCCTGGACTTGAGCTCTGCTCAAGCAGTGTTCTTTCAAATTTATTACCACGCCAGTCGTAGCGAAGCCGAAGAAGACATAAAAGGCCTGCTCAAGGAATTGGATTTTCACCCCCTTTCCGTCAACATACTTGCAAATGCTGCACAACAAAATGGCTGGTCTCCAGCCACACTGCTCAAGAGATGGAATGATCGGCACAGCAAAGTGCTTGACGCTGGGAAGGGGAAGCTGCAAAGCCTGTCCAACACCATGCAGCTGTCGCTCAGCTTGCCGTCGGTCCAGGATCTCGGCGAAGATGGTCTTCGTGTCTTAGCCATCATCGCATTCTTGCCCCAGGGTCTAAACGAGAACCTGGCTGGTGATTTGTTGCCATCGCTTCCGCAAGTCAATGCTATATGCGATGTTCTATGCATGCAATCCCTCGTTTATCGTCAAGACAACTTCCTCAAGGTGCTCGCCCCCATTCGGCATTACGTGCGAGATTCATTGCAAGCACCTGACTCCACGTCTTTGCGAGAGATACATGCCTTCTACTATCGCACTGTCGCCTCCTGTTCGAAAGAGCGTGATCAGTATGCTGATATCATTATCTCGGATCATGTAAACATCGAGCATGTAATTGCCTTCGACCTTGCCGATATCCCGGATGACGCAGAAGAGACCTATAAGGCTTGCTGGCAATTTTTGGAACGTTTGGATTGGTATCTGCCTCGCCCGACTACTCTTACCCCTGCTATTTCCAATATCGTCGAAAACTCTTCCACGTGGACGCTAAAAGCAGACTGCTTGTTAACCCTCACACGGCTCTACGACACACTTTCTCAGCTCGTGGAAGCATCACAGGCCTTTCAAGCTGCCGAGGCGCTCTACCTCACCGCTGGCGACCCCGAGAGGATGGGAGATTGTCTTATAAATCGTGCAGACATGCTGAGATGTCAAGGTCGCTTTATTCAGTCCCAGAATCTCTTAGAGGACCTTCAGCACTCCGACTCTTGGGAGTCTCTCAGCGAAATAAATAAAGCCCGAGCTTGGTTTTTCTTGGATATGGCCCGGATGTACACATTCACAGAATCTGCCGATGAATTATTTGTGAAATCCGCGGAAGATCGTATCTTGGGCTTGGCAACCAAGATTTGGCACTGGCGGGCCAAATTTTATCATGGGGGTGACGTTGTCCAGGTGAAGACACACCTCAAAGACCTGTTCGTGCAGCATGCAGGTACCGGAGATGCCAGAACTCTCGAAGACCTACTTCAGGGCCTTGCAGACGTTGCATATTGCGAAGGCAGATTGTCTGAAGCAATGGATATCCTGCAGAATATCATAGAGATGGATGGACAATCTGCAGAAGGTGTCCTTTGGTCTACCGTGTGGAAGGCTCATGTTGTGAGCAAGCAAGGGGATTATAACCTGGCGAGGGAGCTCATCCGTAGAGCCTCAGAACCCTTCCAATTCTTTGCGCTACGCAGTGCGCGCACGTTCCTCCATCAATCTTACGGCTCGGCATGCATCGAGCTCACTGCGGGCGAGTCCCACAGGGTCGAGGCTTATTTTACTGCCACAATCGAAGCCTGCGACATGCAAAGCGATCTGTTGCGTAAGGCATTCAACATTCGTGGACTGGGAGAGATTGCATTTGCGCATAGTAACTTTGCACTAGCTACACAGCGCTTCGAAGAGACACGATCTTTGTGCGCTGAGATGGGAGTGCCTTCTCAGCATTTGTACAGCTGCTTTCTGTTGGATACTTTACCGGACAGATTCGAAGGATGGGTGTTATTCCTGGAGGGTCTGTCGCCATCTGTGAACGATACTATGTAGATTGTATACATTAGCCGCCTGCGGTTGTATTTCATGAGTAGTTTCATCATCATTGTATTATATCCATGACAAGGAAGTAATAATGAGACAAATACCAGATAATAGATATACTACGGCAAGGCTTTGATTAGTCCTCTGCAGGATTTTAGGTGTTCTAACCGCTCGAACTTCTCTGCTTCGCAAATCACACTTTCTCTTTCAAATGGGCATGCTCATCCTTTTCAGTTAGCCATGTGCATCCGTATCAGGGACATCTCAGATTGAACGTTCACGAAGCAAGTGACACAAACTCACATCGGCAAGCGCCACAAAGCTATTCCATTTGTCGTCTTCGACAGCGAGGTCCTGTCGATTTATTTGCGAGCAGAATTTGATCACACGTTCTTAGTCCTCTTCATGCCCTTGGATCACTGCAGCCGTTTTCTTGCAATTCGCAAAATTGGCTACTGGCTCGCCCACCTAGAGGTCATCGACGATCCTCGAGCTGGCCGGATGTGTACTTTGCACCACCTTATTATCGGATAGTCTCGTTCGGTTCCTCGTGAATTCTATTGACCAGGTTTGAATCTCCAGCGTTGGTTCGCCACAGCAGGGATTTAGGAGTTATGCCTGACTCCCACTGGCATGATTAGTTGGAAAATGGTTTTGTCAGACGCAAGTTTCCCTTTCCAAATCTGCCTCGACTCGAGTTCCGGCTAACTCGCTATGATAGACGCCCGGTACATAGGTCATGCAGTTAAGCTGTGCAGTTTCTCACCCTCTCCGTTGAGATAGGCGGAGGCGCTCGTTCAGTGACTAACACCTACTGCAGGCTGGAGATTCCGAGCCACCATACGAACCCAGGCAATGCGGCTATCCAGAAAGCCGAAGGCGGGAGGGTCCAACAAATCAAAGGTGAGAATCCACCTATCTAGGTGTCACCATCTTATATTTGATCTATCATAGAAGGGCTCAAAACAACCCACTCGTGAAACTGAGCAGTCGCAGGACGATACTGTGAGCCAACTGCTGGGCATCACTATAGCGGCCATCAACGCTACCAAAGACCTTGTGCCCATCGATCTCGCGAAAGGTATCCTCAGAATGAGGGGCTTGCACAAATAGCATTTTGTGAAGGCAGGTTATCCGACGCAATGGATAACCTGGAGACGCTTGTAGGGATTTGCAAGGGACAACATTCTGATGACGCCCTTCGGCAAACTGTGCGAAAGGCTGTTGTTGCGAGCAAGCAGGGGAATTGTGACCTTGCGAGGGAGCTTGACCAGAAAGCCTCAAAAGCTTTCCAATTCTTCGCGCTGCACAATGCGCGCGTATTCCTCCACCGATCTTACGACTTGGCACGCATCGTGCTCACTGCAGGTGAGTGCAACAAGGCCGAGACTTATTTCACCACCACGATCGAAGCCTGCGAGATGCAAGGCGATCTGGCGCTTAAGGCGTTCAGCATGCGTGGTCTGGGAGAGATTGCATTTGCGCGTAGTAACTTTGCTCTAGCCATGCAACGCTTCGATGAGACACGGTCTTTTTGTGCCGAGATAGGAGTGCCTCCCCAGCATCTGTGCAGTTGCATGCCACTTAATACAATACCGGACATATTCGAAGGATGGGCATCGTTTTAAGGGGCAGGTCGCCATTTGCGGATGTAGGTATACATCTTTTCTGTGGCGGGCGTTGTGTATACTTGAACACAGTGAAAAAAATGTTAAGCATGCTCCACAACCGGCGAGCACTTATAAGACTTATCGTTTCACTGGGCTTATGCTGAGAATTACGGCTACAGAATAACAGATGTTGCGTGTTCCTTTCGGTCAACGTCACACCCGAGTGGCATCACATATGTAGAACCAGGCTTCTTCCAAACACTTTTAAACCTATCATCGTCATCAGTCCGGTTCAAGTGAATACAATATATGCGATATGCTATCATTGTTCTCGGTTGATCAACTAGCGATCGCTAGAGGATCACGGCGCTCTCGATTGCGCAGGGCCCCGGAGAGACTAGCCACGACTTCAACTTGAAACGACGAGAGATTTGTTGAACTTTATCAGCATGCATGCGGCAATTTTTAAGTTCCATCTAAGTACCTCCTGACCTGACTCAGGTCCGGGGGTACTTAGATGGCTGACAACGTCTGTTGTATTCCGAGACCGTCAATGCTTGTTTTTTGCGTGCCCAGATCTCCCAACGAGGTCTAATTTGTCCAATGAGTCTACGAGAAAGTAGTCATTATATAAACCTTCACAAGTCTCAGAGTAGTGAAGCTCATCGATACCTTTGTCACTGCTCTAAGCATACAAATCACTCTTCTCTTCGATACCCTCGCTTACTATGTCGCTCTTGCTGCAGTACAACCCAAGACGGGAGTCGTCGTAAAACGTTCTATGAGCATCATCACTGGCGGCACTGTAGTCAGACTCACTGCTGTGGTATTATAACGCAGCTGCAGCCTTTTATAACCGCAACGATGTCGCTTTGAATCTAGCCGTTTCCCAGTTTCAGGGAGAAACAGCCTCATCGTACATCAATCCTCTTCAATTACTTACCTGCCGCTAGACGGGGAGAAACGTGAGGAAGTTGAGGCTTTTCAATTCATTTAGCATAAGAGTACTTCTCTTGATGGAGAAAAACGGGGAACTCGTCGCAGCGTGGAGAGCGGGGCGTTATGTTTCTAAACAGTGTGGGTTGCAGCACTGCCTTTGATCACCTGAATCCGGTCTGCTCTCGCATCATCCTTTCTAGTCTTCTGTCCTTCATGGCGTCATGAGCTGCTTCCAATGCTGTAGACTCCAAGATTTGGTGAATCCTTGTCATACTCCAGAGAAGGTCCAACCTCGAACTGCGCTTGTAGGAACATTGTTCGCAAAGTGTCAATGATGACCTATCCGACGCGTCGGAAGTAAGTATGTCCTAGTTTGTCGGGTGCTGCCCACTGCCCATGGTGCCATGCTTCCGATTGGTCAGGCCTTTGAATCAGTCTAAGGACCAGACCGGCCGCACTACCACCACAGCCTACGACTTAGTTCAACTAATGCGATGCAGTTAGTTGACCAGTACTACGGCATACTATAGTCCCGGAACCAGGCGGTTGCTTTGATTTGTTGGGTAACGCTGTAAAGTCCGGTGTGAGAGTAAGCCGGAACCGTCACTGCTGCGTTCGTCCGAAACTTTGTCCAGGAAAAACGTGTCTTATGCACCAGTTAAAAGTGAGGTGAGTTCCAGGAATGCGCATCGTGGGCTGGCTCGGATATTACATTGTTCAACTGGAAGTTCTGGAACAAGCAACTTGAAGGGTCGCCTTTCGGGTGACCTCGGAGGTCAAGCACTTCATTAGGCGCCGAAACGGAGACAAACCGGAGGCGAAAGTTAATAAAATTGGTTGGCGTGACAAATATCGTCATTTAACCGGCAAGACGTGCCCGAGTCACCTTAAAGTTATACAGTACAGCCGTTATTTTTTCAGCACCTCCCCTTTTCTTCCTTGACTGTACAAATGCAGGCTGCACGACATGGTAGGTTTTGGTCAAACTTCAAGTCAGATATTTCATGATGGGTTATTTCGGTGCACAGTCCGCTTTATGTCCACGAGCAGGTCGCTTGTCTGCTCTCACGTGCATGCGCAAAAACATTTCTTGAGGGCTTCGACTTCCAGAGCCCAATCAAGGTCTGTGGCCTCGACGGCCGCCGCTGCGTCACAGGTATGTTATCCCGCGGTTAGCTTTCTTGTTCATATGTTGAGTCTTCGTTATGAATAGACTCCACCACCACCACCACCACCGTCTCAAGGGAGATGGAGATACTTTTTACAGACTCTTGGACGTGTGACACTCGTAACAGTGATCGGAGGCAAGTGCTGTGTTCTAGCAAGCAACATTTTTGACTGATTGTGGATCGTTCATCTACCTGACCTTCCCTTAACCATGTAATTTTGAACTACAGCTTCCGCATCCTTCTACTACATTGCACATAAGGAAAAAAACCCAGGACCACAACTCCCAGTTCGATCCCTCAAAGAAGACCCTGGTCATCTTGGGCAGCGGTTGGGGGGCGACGAGCCTCCTTAAGGGGCTTGACACCAGCGATTATAACACTGCATGTCACACGTTCAATAGTGCTGTGTTCGCAGGCTAATTGCATGCTGATCCACTAGATTGTTGTCTCCCCAAAGAACTTCTTCCTCTTCACGCCTCTCCTTCCCTCCGTGGCAGTTGGTACGCTGAATGCACGATCTATCCTCCAGCGTGAGTTCCCTTCATATTCGCCTGCTGCAGACGTTAACTATAAGAAAAACACAGCTACTCGCTACCTGACGCGACACAAAGAACGTCAAGTTTTAGTCATCGAAGCAGAGGCCAAAGAAGTTGACGTACGTCTCTTCTCGTATATTAATCAGCAGAGATTAAAAGCCTTTATTTGCAATAGCCGGTTAAGAAAACTGTTACGCTCTCAGGTGTGTTTTCCACCCCTTGCTATTTCTTCAGAGAATAACGAGGGCCGAATTGTCACAGATGACTCCGAGATCCAAGGTCAAATATCCAGCACGACCATACCGTACGATTATCTTGTATATGCTGTCGGTGCCGAGACGCAGACATTTGGTATTCCCGGTGTAAGGGAGCATGCATGCTTCATGAAAGAACTGCATGATGCTGAGAAGGTGCGCCAATGCTCCGTCTGGTCTCTGCCATCTTATTGAATACAATGATATACTGCAGATGCAAAGACGCTTTTTGGACTGTGCGTTTTCGCATCATTTATTATTAGTGATGTACGACTCATGAACTGCTTTATAGGCGTAGAGAGTGCTGCTTTCCCTGGCCAAAGTGACGAGGAGAAAGACCGGTTGTTGCATATGGTACGTTTGGTGATTCTCTGATTTCTCTCTCTTGTCGCTCCGCATTTCGCGTTCTCAAAAGTCGATTCCTCAATTGTGAGGGAACCTTGATACTTGTAATTACTGCCAACACAGATGAATATCTTTCTTCTACGTGAACTTTCATCATTTGGAAACATGTACTCATTATTTGGCAGGTTGTAGTAGGCGGTGGACCCACGGGTATCGAACTTAGTGGCGAACTCCGTGACTTCCTCGAGGTACGACTGTCGTTTTTCTTCTTTCACTTTCTGTTGCCTGACCTTGTATCTTTATCAACTCCAAGGAGGATCTCAAGTCATGGTACCCAGAGCTTGCCTCACGGATCCGCATCACGCTGGTCGAGGCTCTTCCCAATGTTCTTCCCTCATTCAGCAAGGAGCTGATTGCCTATACCGAGCGCACGTTCAAGGAGTCCGACATCGAAATCCTCACGAAGACCATGGTGAGGAAAGTCAACGAGAAGAGCGTCGTTCTCAAGGGCCCCGATGGTGTCGAACGAGAGGTGCCGTGCGGGATGGTTGTCTGGGCTGCTGTATGTTCTGTTCTCGTGATGATGTTTCTGCCTTTCATGTGTCTTCTCACAGGGCAACACTAGTCGCCAAATAACACGGGATCTGATGGCGAAGCTCCCTGAAGGTCAGACGAATAAGCGCGGAATTACCTTGGACGATCACCTCCGCATGAAGGGAGCTCGCGATATCTTCGCTATCGGCGACTGTACGGCCTCTTCTTACGCTCCAACTGCCCAGGTTGCAAGCCAGCAGGGTTCATACCTCTCGCGTGTGTTCAAGTTACTTGCGAAGAAAGACAAACTCGAGGCCGACCTGTCTCATGCTGAGATCAGCGAAGAGGCGGAGAAACTGAAGAAGCAGATAGACAAGATCAAGTTGAAGCCTTTCCATTACAGTCATCAAGGATCGTTGGCGTGCGTGTTTCCTGTTCTGCTTGGTCCTTCTATTAACGCACTATCTACAGTTACATCGGCTCGGACAAGGCAATCGCTGACCTGCCTATCTTCGGGCGTGAGGTATGTTGCTTACTCCCGTGGCTGTAGGACATGAATTGACTGGGCTATAGTGGACGAGCGGAGGTGTTGCGACGTTCATGTTCTGGCGGAGCGCATATCTGAGCACCTTATTCTCCCTGCGAAACCGAAGCTTGGTTGCTGGGGACTGGGTAAGGGTGAAGTTATGGGGACGGTGAGTACTGAGCTTTTTTTTCTGTCTTCGCTTTCTACCTCCAAATATCCTTCCTTTTTGACCACTTTCTTCATCTCTCCGTGTGTTTGATGAGAGCAATGGGACTCATCACATATTTGCAGTGACGTGAGCCGGGAATGAAGGCCGAGTATGAACACTCATGACTTGCGAACTCGACAGGATGGACCATCAACATCACATTTCTAGACATAGACTATAGAGACACATTATCCCCCCTGTTTATCATTCATGATACATAATCGCGTCTACAATTTCACCTGTCCCTCCTCCAGCCACGTATTTAGTGCGCCTTCCGTTCCTTCGCGTTTTTTTGTCATCTTGGGTACCTTGCATGGTCACCCTCTTCGTTATGTCGTTCTTATTGTGGATGGGTGTTGGGAAGAGCTATATAGACCCTGCTAGGTGCATGCATTGATCGATTTTATAGAGGTAGTTTCCCCGACTTTCACGTCAGTGGAGGGTCTGTCGAATGGATACGTCTAATTTCTCTACTTTTCTCTCCGACCTGTCCAGCAAAATGCGCTTTGTCCTCGATCGATCACATTCTTGCGTCGGTTCGACTCCATATGCTTACCACTGGCTAAGACTGGTGTCTGTAGTACGAGTCGAAGAACATCATGCATTGACAGTAGAATCGCATAGGATCAGCAGTTACTTGTCAACGCAAAATGAAGCAAAAATACTACTACGGTGACCTTGGGACATTAATATTCAGTACAACACCCTATGGTTGTTCTACTACTGACTTCAAGTTTGCTTGTCATTCTCGTTGTCTTCAGTAAATCATGGCAGCAGACAATGATATACACCACGTATCGAAGAACTTGTCTCTGGAATCAGCTCTGAGTGATTCTGAACTCCACGACCATTGTCTCTACAAGATCATAGACCTGGGTGAGTACTAAGCCAACAGAGGCCCTGTCAATTATCGCCAGTAAACCACCGTCAAGATATCAAGATATACTAGAATGAATTTACCCAAGGATCTTCAGCTCGCCCAAGGTTCGTTCCTTGGTATTATGAATAAGCCACATCGTCATGTCCATTTGGTACGACCTGTGAGCGCCTGCCCCGAAGTTCGGTAACATAGGTTCAGGGGCCTTGGGATCATGAAGTCAGAAATATACCAGACTGCACTCCGAAACTCACGGTGCTTAGCCCGTCAGTTCCAATGTCAGGTTCCTGCACTGTGTGAAAGAGCACGCAATCATCTAGCGCACAAGATATTGGCTGTGCAGAAAATACCCCATTGAACCGCAGCTGACTTACGAATTAACACTCGGCTGTTTGGTCCCATGACCTTGCGAATGTTACGAAGGATCGTCGCTGCCTCGTGGTCTGGCCAGTTGTGGATAATGTGCCTCAACTATATAATAAGACCCTCGAGTTATTGCAGACGAATGGGAGGAAAAAGGAACTCTTACATAATAAACATCCTTCCCAACAACAGGTACATCCTCGAGAAAATTGAATGGCACGAACTCCACGCGCCCGTCTAGCAGTGCCTCGGGAGCATTCTTCTCCCATGCCTAAATCAAATACGAATAAGGTGTCCGCTGAGATGATTCTGGGTGGATGTTTGAACTCACATTCTGTGCCTCCAGAAGAACTTCCGGGAGATCCTGATTAGTTATTTTGAGATGAGGGAACATTTTCGCTAGAGGAGTGGAAAATGTCCCAATGCCAGATCCGATATCCACCACAGATGAAATATTATCCCAAGGATAGTCTTGCGACCTATATCAGTTACGCTAGCGATTCATAAATAGTGATGGCTTACGATGCAGAACTGCAGAAGCGCCCACCATCTCATTAAGGCCAAGCATGGCCCTGTGAAATGCCTATACATGTGAGTCGTGACTCTGTGAACCGGCAGTCGTGAATGAAGCACTCTGCACGTACCTCTCGTCTCTCATCCTATAGAATGTGTCAAGTAAGCGAAGGGCGGTATTACCGTATGACGACGAAAGCTCACGTCATTGTTGATCATTTTCCAGTAGTTACCTGTTATACCCTCCCTCCTGGAGACCAATACCCGGGGTGCTTTGTCGGGCTCATGTGAACGCGAAAATTCTTCGTCAGTCATACTCTCATAGAGAACTCCGGCGTATTTCGTGACGCCCCGAGAATGAAGTCCTGCAAAGCATCCAGTGTTGTTTGTTGACTTGAGTATGAGGGATAATCGAGTGTTTGCGAAGACGTCTCGCTCGACTGTTTAATACATTACAGGCTTCAGAGAAAGTGACAATTGTCATGCACATTACCTTCTTTAAAGCAACCCATGAGGGATAAAGCTCGCAAGATGCGCGCAGTCTTGCTCTTGTCGAGGTTGACTGCTTCAGCCAGCCTGTCCACGCTAAGACCTTCTGGATGCTTGTCCAAAACATCTGCAATGCGCGCCCGCAGGGCAACATCTATGCAAGCCCAATTGTAATTGAGAACAAACTGAGGAAATGAGCCATAAAGCAGAGATCATTTGCAAGAGGGAAGCCTGAGGGACTCACATTCGTCACCGTGTGTTGGGGGGGAGCCAGTATTGCGCTTAATTGGTGATATGCACCTTCGAGCAGCCTAATTGCCTTTTTGAGGGCAATTGTATCTGTTGCCGAGTCGAGAAGGTGGAAGGCGGTTGCATCGGCACTAGGGACCCCATGTCCTGTGTTCTTGTATTCCGCGATTGCTTGACGTGCAGAGGAATTGATGATGTCCAAGAGAGCTTCAAGTTTGGCTTCCGCTTCATCCAAGTCTGTCATCTTTTGGGAATGAGATGATGAAGAACAAACGGCGCTCCCGCCGGTCAGTGGTTTTTATATCATTTTTCCTTGTAATCATGATCGACAAAGATACGCATCTCATAATATAGTGGTGATATCTCATGATGGCATCAAACTCGTACGATTTCTTTTACGTGTTGGCTTTTGAGCCGAAGTACTGTTTCTGGTACCTCATCTGTATAACACCCCAGTTCTCGCTTAGTAGTGAAAGAAGTTTGATGTGTTACGAATGCTTACGGCTCACTGATGCTGCCAGTGGATCTTCCTGTCGTTATCAATGCTAAACATTGTCAGGCATAGTAAGTAGGCCCGCCGGCCCATCGGCAAAAGATTTCCGCTTGTCAGAAAGAAGTTAGATGCTTACTACGGAGCAACACGCTTGGTGGAAAGGGCCGCTCATTTCATCCAGCTCGTGTTGCTTGGGATCCGAGCACCGGTTTTTCACGGGGTACGCTGTCCTGCAGGACAAAACCAGGCTCTTGCAATGAAATAGCGTCCAGCATCGTCTCTGCACGTCGGTTCGGAAACGACCGGACGCAGCTCAGCCTTCTTCCCCTAGCCAGACCACTCAGGTATAGGAGGAAGAAGAAGTTAAGTCTGTACTCCGGTAGTCAACTTGTCATTCTTCCACCAACAAATTCAGGCCCACCTTCACATGTTCCTTTTCACAGCATTCAAGATATTTTGAACATGGGCTCCGGTATTGAAATTGCTGCGGTCATGCTTCGCAATATGCAGGAGTGCTGTCAGGGATGGGTGCTGAGCACTCAGGGTTGAAGCCAAGGACTGGGATGAAGGGTATTAGGTGAGTGTTAGGCTCAAGCCAAGTGCTGTACATGTGCGATGGCAAGCTCGAAATGAGAAGGTAAGTAGAACTAGACATTGTGCCGTTGATCTCGGCGGCCTGTCTCCATGTTCTCCTTCAGTAGAGATAGAACCTCGATAGCCACACCTCAGGATCCTTGGTAGCCTGCTGCTCTGAAACTCAAGGTTAGAACTCGCGCGATTTTCGGAAAGCACTCCCACCCCATTCCATATGCGTAACTGTTGTTCTGCATCCTCGCCCAGGTTGGGAGCTAAACGGTCACTTCGTACAAGAGGAAGCGAGATGAGTTCAGCTTCCACACGTGAACCACCCTTCCTGTCTGGCCTGAGGCCGACGTTATGCATAAGGATCTTCGTTCCTTCGTCTTTCAAACATGGCGCTGGGACGGAGCACCGCTCAAATATCCCTCTTGCAACCGACATATCCAAGGATGTGTCCCAGTTTCATATTTGATATGTTCCGTGTAGAAACGCGGTGTTCGTTTGCGTCAGTCCAGAACGAGGAATAATGGATGTGGCCTGTTCTGACAACCCACCACCTATGTGCAAGGACACGTCAGGGATAGTGTCGAGAGTATAACTGTTAAGTAATATGATAGACAGTGATAGACTGACCAGACCGTACTGTTACGTATTCCTGCAAGTCACAACATTCCTATATAAGCACGAATAGCTACCGGCATGTTGTCAAGACAGTCCAACACGTCATGCTGTGTTGTTGCTCTGTCTCCTTTTTACGACTCTACTATATGGCAACCTCTGCTTCATTTCACGACCACGAAGACGCTGAAACTGTCTTGAAATTCTAGACAAATTGCCGAGCGATTTTCGTAAGCTCATCGTAACTGAGATCAATCACTAATTCGACTATAATTGACACCAGAGGCCGATTAAGACTTAATACGACGTGCGGAGCGAGTCGATTCATTTTATTTTATTTGGGCAAATACAAATACATGACTCACGAATCAAGATATAGGACATTCGATGCACCTCGTGGTCAATGAGATTCACGAGGTGGTGCGAAGCCGAGTTACAGACCACTGAGTACTGAACTAGTACGACAGGGGTGATGTGATACCACTGCAGGTCTTTACTTGTTGTTATTTTGAATCTGCACATCATAATTGACCTTGCTCCGCATGATAACTAGGGGCCGGCGTTGCCGACTATTTACCTTGCTCCGGCGACTCTCGCGCTTCAACCATTAATGTTTCTCCCCAATTTTATTCGGGAATACAAGGCTGTCGAATACTACTACAGTCCTAGAAAACACGCTAGAAAAATAGGAAATACGACACGCTTCGGGATACAAGTATAATTATGAGTGCAGTATTTGAAGGCACTGTCCCTCCTTTTAGGCTTTCGAACCACTCGCGTCAGTCTCAGGAATTTTTATTATTTTCCAGTCGGTCTTTGTCGTCGTTGACGTACGGGCGTTTGTAGTTACACGCCGAGCCTCAGAATGGTGACGTTTTCCGCGGTCGCTTGGAAAGTATTGGATTTTCCAATGACGTACGGTGAACTCAATCTCCACGATGGAACCGTTGAGAGCGATATTAAGGCATGGATGGGTTGAATACGGTTGCCTTCATAGAATACAGAAAGGGGGTATTGCTTGTAAATTGTATTTGATGCTAGAAGTGCAGTGCAAATTCGTCCGGGATAGGCTAGTTTGCCGTTTCATAGTCCATCTGCGGAGCTTCTTCGACAGCTTGTCCATGAGGAGAGTCAGGTACGGCGTTATCCTTTCTGTTTTAAGTTGTCATGTATGTTGATAAACGTATGCACGTACCCTTGAGGTGAATATGTTCCTCACAGAACGCATCATTCTCCCTGTGACGTCATCGACGATCATACTCGTACACCAATCTGTGGTGGCGACTTGGTCTTGCAACATCTCCAGGGTGGTGATTCCTGCCTGGTGGTCCGTTGCAAAATCAGGATAGGCGGGTCGAGAGATATGAAACTGATATCTGGCTTTTCTAGAGGGCTCGTGCCATTAGCAATATGATTTCCTGCAAGTCCACATTTCAGGCAATAGGCGGATACACGACCTACTATAACGAGTTTGGCCGGGAGCTCGCTACTTTCGTTGACGAGTTCCAGTCCACTAGTACTGCCGGAAATTCAGCCTGGAATGTTGCTAGAAGCGTAGAATCAAGTTAGGGTTGCTGAGCGCTAGCGTTCAATAAGTGTCGTGAAATCACGTGGTTTTGTAAATTCTTTTTCTTCACACGGACTATTGCTTACGTTGGCACAACTTTACCAACATTTGAACATGACCTTGCTCCGCATGGTAATTGGCCTGTCTCTGGTCGATTTTTACTGGGAGCTTTAAGCTGCTTGTAGCAATGGACGTCGAGTCCGTTGGTATTTGATCAATACAGCCTCTAAGATGCTATTTTGCAACCCTTTATAACAGGTATGGATGGGGTTTACAAATTCCATCAGCTCTACCCTCGCGTCGCGGCAACACTATCCAAGACCATGAGGGTATTCTATCACAGGTATGGATGGGCTATAGCCTGAGGTTTACAAATTCCGCTTCTATTCGCATCAGCTCTACTTGGTGTCGTGGCAACACTACTAGTGGCCTGCAGTGGGGTTTACGAATTCCACTTCTATTCGCATCAAATACTGTATAGTTGCTACTTCAAAGCTTCATATCCGTTCCATGCAAGATGTTGTTAACCTCTGAGTCACCATTTTCAGGCGTCAAACAACCTTTATAAGGCGAACTAACATGTCTGAAGCTCGATTATAATCCCTCCCCATGCTCTTCACTCATATTCTCCCTTTAGGGATATCGTGCATTATTGCCCTAGTTGTCACTTCGAGTCTGGTTCGCAAACGTATATACCCTATACCTCTGCCGCCTGGCCCTCGTCCGTTACCATTTTTGGGTAACGCGCTGCATTCATTATCGAATACTAAACGACCTTGGCTCACATATACTGCGTGGGCAAAGAAATATGGTTGGTAGCAGACCAATGGCCTCTTTGCCAAGCTCTTAATTCAATTTCATATCTGATCATAGGAAATATCATTCATAACCGTATACTTGGGATCGACTTGATCATCATAAACTCCGAAACCATCGCGCGAGAGTTGCTGGACAGGCGCTCTGCGAATTACTCTACTCGCCCCATTATCCGCTCCAACGAATTGTATGCATTGCCGGTTTTCATTCAATTTGTTCTTCATCCACTGATGATGCAGAGCTGGACTGGCATTCAATACTGTGTTCCTTCCATATGGCGAAACTTTACGGCGACATCGCAAGATCTTCCATCAAGTTTTCAGGGCCGAAGTCTCGGTCTCATACCACGAGATGTACTCTCACTATGCAAATGAATTAGTCATCAATCTCTTAAATCCCACCAGTGACTTGCAGCAACACACTCGAGTGTTCGTATCTAATTCAGTGGTGTCGCTGTGATGTATGGTCCGATTGACAATCAATCCTCGTGACAGATACGCGGCATCCCTAATCATGGCCGTGACATACGGACACCTTGCTGGTGGACACGAAGGCCCATTTCTCACCCGCACGCGCGAACTCCTTGATATTGTCAAATATATTGCTTCTCCCGAGAGGGCTGTTATCTTCACGGCCTTTCCTTTCAGTGAGTGCCTCTGTTGACGACATCATGAACATTTAGCATGAGGTTTGCAGTCGAAAAGTTGCCGCTTCGGTACTTCGGTGGAGGACTTGCCCTGATAGAACGCAGTAGAGAATTATGTCCACAGCTTTTGAACGAGCCCTTTGACGAAGTGAAGGCCCAGATAGTACGTTTGCGCAGAGTTGTGGATGATAATTTCGCCTGATATGTTTGCGTGAAGGCAAATGGCACTGCTTCACACTCATTGGTCGCCGACTTTCTCAGTCAAGCTCACGACGACGCTGACGAAGACATAATTAAGTCTGTTGCGTTGATGGGATTCATGGGTAAGACTTTTTTTACCAGGACAGAATTCATCTATTGACGCGAATTGGCATCTTAGCTGGTGTAGAGACTGTGAGTCATTACTTAAGCAGTCCTGATTCTTACTTCAATTGATGTCCCGCAGACTACATCCGCATTACAGACATTCCTTCTGGCTATGGTGCTCTATCCTGACGTCCAAGCCCAGGCTCGTGCAGAAATTAATCAAGCTGTGAGACATGGTCAAATGCCGTGCTTGGATGATAGGGCGTCACTGCCCTACCTTGATGCCATCCTACGCGAGGTCCTGAGATGGCATCCTATCATCCCCTTAGGTTGGTCGGTAGTAATATAATTTGTGTTTGCATGGCTGACTCCTTGCACAGGAGTTCCACATGCGACATTAGATGATGATGTTTACGGCGAGTACTTTATACCCAAAGGTTCGAAGTCGTATGAGTCGAGGTTGCCGTTGACTCATCTGTAGTTCGATCAGGTGCCATAGTAATGGTTAATCAGTGGTATGTCAGGGTGGAGTGCATGTAACGGTGGCTTGAGCTGAGCATGACTTAGGGCACTGTCTCGGGATGAAAACATGTTTCCTGATGCATCACGTTTCGATCCTAGTCGTCATCTAACAGCTGACGGGAAGCTGAAGGATCCTTTCGCCAGCCATTTTGCCTTTGGTCATGGCAGGTGAATATTCCACACTTACTATCATTTTCAATTATTCACTGACCCTTGCAGGCGTATTTGTCCTGGTAGGCTGATCCATGGTTTATCTAGCAGTTTTGAGAATGACAAATGCCTTTGGCAGGTCGTTGGTTTGTAGAGAATGGTCTGTGGACTGCAGCTGCTGCCATACTCGCCGTCTTGCGCATCGATCATGCCAAAGACTCAAACGGAGACAGGATTGAGGTGATACCGGAGTTCAGCACCGGCTTGGTGGTGTAAGTGACCTAGTATGTATTCAAGAACCTGCTAACTCTGCCGAAGTCACCCTGAGCCATTTCACTGCTCGTTTGAAAGCGTGAACACAGCGAGAGAAGGACATCTTCGAGCGATGATGAATTCGAAGTAATGGTCACGGTCTTCGTTCTGTTGTCCTTATTGTGGATAGGTGTTGCGAAAAGTCATATAGGACGCTACTAGGTGCATGCCGCATTGATCTATTTTATAGAGGTAGTCTCCCCGACTCCCACGTTAGTGGAGGAGGGTCTGTCGAATGGATACGTCTAATTTCTCTACTTTTCTATCCGACCTGTCCAGCAAAATGCGCTTTGTCGTCGATTGATCACATTCTTACGTCCGGTCTGACTCCATATGCTTACCACTTGGCTAAGACTGGTTAGGATGGACGTCTGTAGTACGAGTCGAAGAACATCATGCATTGACAGTAGAATCACATAGGATCAGCAATTACTTGCCAACGCAAAATGAAGTAAAAAGACTACTACAGTGACCTTGGGACATTACAATATTCAGTACAATATCCTATGGTTGTTCTACTACTGACTTCAAGTTTGCTTGTCGCTCTCGTTGTCTTCAGTAAATCATGGCAGCAGACAATGATATACACCACGTATCGAAGAACTTGTCTCTGGAATCAGCTCTGAGCGATTCTGAACTCCACGACCATTGTCTCTACAAGATCATAGACCTGGGTGAGTACTAAGCCAACAGAGGCCCTGTCAATTATCACCAGTCAACCACAGTCAAGATATCAAGATATACTAGAATGAAATTACCCAAGGATCTTCAGCTCGCCCAAGGTTCGTTCCTTGGTATTATGAATAAGCCACATCGTCATGTCCATTTGGTACGACCTGTGAGCGCCTGCCCCGAAGTTCGGTAACATAGGTTCAGGGGCCTTGGGATCATGAAGTCAGAAATATACCAGGCTGCACTCTGAAACTCACAGTGCTTAACCCGTCAGTTCCAATGTCAGGTTCCTGCAATGTGTGAAAGAACACGCAATCATCTAGCACAAAAGTATTGGCTTTGCAGAAAATACTCCATTGAACCGCAGCTAACTTACGAATTAACACTCGACTGTTTAGTCCCATGACCTTGCGAATGTTACGAAGGATCGTCGTTGCATCGCGGTCCGGCCAGTTGTGGATAATGTTCCTTAACTATATAATAAAATGCTCGAGTTACTGGGGATGCAGGGAGGAAAAGAAGCTCTTACATAATAAACATCCTTCCCAGCAACAGGTACGTCCTCGAGAAAATTGAATGGCACGAACTCCACGCGCCCGTCTAGCAGTGCCTCGGGAGCAGTCTTCTTCCATACCTAATCAAATATGAATAAGGTGTCCGCTGAGATGATCATGGGTGGATATTTGAACTCACATTCTGTGCCTGCAGAAGAACTTGCGGGAGATCCTGATTAGTTATTTTGAGATGAGGGAACATTTTCGCCAGAGGGGTGGAAAATGTCCCAATGCCAGATCCAATATCCACCACAGATGAAATATTATCCCAAGGATAGTCTTGCGACCTACATCAGTCACGCTAGCGATTCATAAATAGCGATGGCTTACGATGCAGAACTGCAGAAGCGCCCACCATCTCATTTAGGCCAAGCATGGCCCTTTGAAATGCCTATACATGTGAGTCGTGACTCTGTGAACCGGCAGTCGTGAATGAAGCACTCTGCACGCACCTCTCGTTTCTCATCCTATATAATGTATCAAGTAAGCGAAGGGCGGTATGACGACGAAAGCTCACGTTATTCTTGAACAATTCCCAGTGGTTATTACCTTTCATACCCTCCTTCCTGAGGGCTAATACCCAGGGTGCTTTGTCGGGCTCATGTGAATGAGCAAATTCTTCGTCAGTCATACTCTCATAGAGAACTCCGGCGTATTTTGGAACGTCCTGAGAGTGAAGTCCTGCAAGACATCCAGTGTTGTTTGTTGATTTGAGTATGAGGGATAGTCGAGTGTTTGCAAAGACGTCAGGTGCGACTGTTTAATACATTAAAGGCTTCAGAGAGAAAGTGATAATTGTCATGCACATTACCTTCTTTGAAGCAACCCATGAGGGATAAAGCTCGTAAGACGCGCGCAGTCTTGCTCTTGTCGAGGTTGACTGCTTCAGCCAGCCTGTCCACGTTAAGACCTTCTGGATGTTTGTCCAACACATCTGCGATGCGCGCCCGCAGGGCAACATCTATGCAAGCCCAATTGTAATTGAAAACAAACTTGGGAAATGAGTAACAGAGGATAGATAATTTGCAAGAGGCAACTCAGGCTCACATTCATCAGCGTGTGTTGGGGGGGAGCCAGTATTGTGCTCAATTGGTGGTATGCACCCTCGAGCAGCCTAATCGCCTTTTTGAGGGCAATTGTATCTGTCGCCGAGTCGAGAGGGTGGAAGGTGGCTGCATCGGCACTAGGGACCCCATGACCTGTGTTCTTGTATTCCGCGATTGCTTGGCGTGCAGAGGAATTGATGATGTCCAAGAGAGCTTCAAGTTTGGCCTCCGGTTCATTCAAGTCCGTCATCTTTTGGGAATGAGTGCTCCCGTCAGTGGTTGTAATAGACAAAGATAAATGACGTACTAGATGAGTGAATGCACGAACCTTACCTTCTGATTGTGGCTGAATCGCGTCATCGTCATCATACAGTACATTTCCTTTTTCTCTTTATCATGTGTGTGGGTGCATTCTAATTGCCTTTTTGAGGGCAATTGTATCTGTCGCCGAGTCGAGAGGGTGGAAGGTGGTTGCATCGCGCTATAGGGGGCTCCATGACCTGTAGCACTCCTTAGATCACCGTCGGAGGAATCAACAGTTTCAGAATAAGTAGACCTAGTAGACTTAGTCGTCTAAGAATGTGTATATGATGTATTAGCCCGCGTTCTTCGGATGTATGGAAGACGTGTGCCAACATTAATGTGATCCTCATTGCTGATAGGATGTCGCCCTGCCTTCGAACGCTGACTGGCGGCCCAAGAAGAAAGCGCGCAGCTCACCCTTCTTCACCTAGCCAGACCACTCAGGTATAGGAGGAAGAAGTTAAGTCTGTACTCCGGTATCAACTTGTCATTCTTCCATCACCAAATTCAGGCCTACCTTCACATGTTCCTTGTTACAGCATCAAGCAGGCTGTACTCACCAGGACGGGCGCTCAGCACTCAGGGTTGATGCCAAGGACTGGGGGATGAAGGGTTTATATTAGATGAGTGTTAGGCTCAAGCCAAGTGCTGTACATGTGCAATGGCAAGCTCGAAATGAGTAGAACTAGACATCGTGCCGTTGATCTCAGCGGTCTGTCTACATGTTCTCCTTCAGTAGAGATAGAACCTCGAGAGCTACACCCCATGATCTTTGGTAGCCCGCGGCTCTGAAACTCGAGGTTAGAACTCGCACAATTTTCGGAAAGCACTCTCACCCCATTCCATATGCGTGAATAACTGTTATGTGTTGTTGTTCTGCATCCTCGCCCGGGCTCGGGTTGGGAACTAAACCGCCACTTCGTACAAGAGGAAGCGAGATGCGCTCGGCTTCCACACGTGGACCACCTTTCCTGTCCGGCCTAAGGCCAACGTTGTGCATAAGGATCTTCGTCCCTTCGTCTTTCAAACATGGCGCTATGGTGGAGCACCGCTCAAATATGCCTTTCGCAGCCGACATATCCAAAGATGTGTCCCAGTTTCCTACTTGATATGTTCCATTTAGAAACGCGGTGTTCGTTTGCGTCAGCCCAGGACGAGGAGTAATGGATGTGGCCAGTTCTGACAACCCGCCACCTACATGCGAGGATACGTCAGGATAGTGATGGTATAATTGTTGATATGGACTGACCAGACCGTACTGTTACGAATTCCTGCAAGCCAGTACATTCGACTACAATAGATTGTCCCCTGATCGGATACATGGTTGTATCTTCTACTCCGATCAAAGACCGTGCACCTTTGGATTCGACCATCAATATCTACTTGGTAACTCGTAATGGCTAGCAAGTGCTCACCAAGAGACGTTGCGTTGACCAACAACCCGGTTTTCCCGACAAAAGGCTTGACTTCATCCAAGCTCCTTATGTATTGGCGACGGAACACAACACCACGAGACTCGAGCTCTGATCGAAGCCATGATAAATACTCCGTCGGGTTCATGGTGACTGTGTTGAAAGAAACTCCCACTTTGTATGGTGCAGGGACTTCAGACTCTGAGAGCAAACTGAACTATCACCCTTGTAAAATCTAAGAATAACAAGACATAAAAAATCGGACTTACATCGCGCACAAGGTCTTGCCACCAGATGGTAGAAAGAACGGCGTCGGTCTCTCCGAGGATCTTAGCGGGTGATCTCTGGAATGTTTATCAGTCACACCGATTGACAAGCGTTCAAACAAAGACTGACCTTGACCAAGCCTGATGGTGCCATTTCCCATAACCTATCACTGAGAAGCCCCGTCCGTAATACTCGAAACAATGTTAGCGTTATATCACTCACAAGCTTATCTGCTCCCATCGTCGCACACGCTCATCCGTGCCACCTAACGGATTTGGAGACCAACTTGCGCCCTAAGCAAGATTAAAGTAAGAAAGTGAAAGTGCCTGAAGAATACTCGAAAGGTACGCACAGCGAATGGACTTGCCCAAGCTTGAGAATGCCAATCCCCAGGCATGTCTCTTGCTAGGATCGTAATATCAAAATTCACATCTGAGTCACAGGCAGCAATGAAGGCGATGGTAAGTCCAATCACCCCCGCCCCGAGGATGACCAGAGGCACATGGGATTTGGAATCAGAGGACATGGTTCTCGTAAAGCACGAGTTGATAGCAGAGATAAGGTACGAAATGATTATGCTGAACTTCGGGCAGGTACTTATAGCCTCAGATAAGAAGGGATTCGGTCACCTTCGGACGAAAAACAGTCGTGTTGATATTGCGCTCGAACCTGGGGCAGTGTCATAGTCGAATAACTGTAAGTATTGTAAGCAGTTGCAGCAGCCTAGTACCGTAGGAGATCTGTATAGGCCACACGGTTTGCAGTGTGCGCTCGTGAGTCGTCGGAGATTCTTCGAGATCATTAAGGCGTAGGAGAATGGTGCCACTTGAACATCACGCCAATTGCGCACCCTGAAACTAGTACGTGTCAACAGAGTAGATCACGATACCATGGTCATTGGTTATCGGAGCCGTGGCCTGCCGGGGCACAGGAATACATCCATCTGGATTCTGAGCGCGCAATACTAGTCAGCTGCGCTTTCAAACTTTAACTCCGACGATTCCATGAAAAGAGCAATTGAACTCAGGTCCAATATGAATGTGCGAGAAGGGTAACAACATAGGGGAGAACAATAGCGATAACGGCCATTGGAAGATACCTTCAAGTTTGTATTCTTCCAGAGTCCAGCCGCGAGCTAAACTAGCGGAGATCAACGGAGATGGAGCTCACGTGGGGACCTCACGTGGCGTCAACGCATTGGTTCCGCGGAATCAGTCGTCCCGTACTACGTAGACACTTTATCATGAGTTTGTCCTTCAGTCTTCAAGGGTCGATTCATCGTGACGGACCAGCCGATAACATTGGGCTTCAACATCTATAGCTACTAGAGCTCATACCTAGTCGATAATGATGAAAATACAACAGATGAGTGGTGCATAGCCCGTCAACGGGCTGCACCGCAAGATTGATTCGATCACCACCCAAAGGTTTCTTCATGGAGCTTAATTCCACCCACAGCCGTGCACAAACGGACGTTAGAGTCTTTCACCACATGCGCCACGGTATGCGCCAGCGATACAGGGCCACAAACGCCTACAAACACACCGTTAGAGCCCCCAGCCGACATCGTGTTCGTGATGGCTCCATCGAGCAGCCTCTCGAGTTTGGGACGGCCAGGCAGGAGGGTGATACCTTGCGGTAGGTACATCCCGTCGAATGTCGTGCTGATTGCGCGGGTGTAGAATACGTGCACGTTAACACGGACAGATGTGCCATTTTGTACGAGGTTCACAAAGAGGGGAAGTAGAGGGGTGAGGGATGCTGTGCGTGGGCAGATGAGCATCGCGATCAAGGAAAGCGGTGAAACGATACATACAAGGGTCTTGGACGGCCCAGACGATATCAATGATTTTCACGTCCGTGGACGCCCGGATCAGATCTGGCACTGCCGATAACGCAAAGGAGACGCCGCTCCCACCAACAACAAACATTGCCCCAGAATAGCTCGACATCACGGTGTGTCCCACGCCGCCTGCGAGAAAAGAAAGGAATATGATGAGATGCATCGACTCCCGGGTAACACGACAACGTACCATAGGGACCTTCCACCATCACTCTAACATCACGGCCGACCTCCTTGCCGGTTTCACCATAAGAAGCTGTTTGAGCCATATTGAAGAGACTGTCTGTCCAGCGGCCAGTCTTCTTGCACATAAGAACCATTCCTTCCGATGTTTCTGCCACATTTGCGATGGTGAAAGGGTGCACCTCAGACCATCCCCACCATCCTATGGATGAAGACAGGACACGCAAGCGGACGTGCTGCCCTGCACGCCAGCCTGCATTGATTGAAGGCACCTCGACTCGGGTGATTCCGAGCTCCGGGAGAGGACGCAGCTTAGCCGTAGTGATGCGGGTCTTGATGGCGCGAACGACGAGATCCAGTATATAGAATACACACGCCGCCACCACGTATGGAATACAGGCAGGCTCGTGGTAGCATACCTATACAAAATTAGGGTCGGTAACGAGACAGGGGGAATTACTTACAGCGAATAAGAAGATGGTGAAGCTCACAACATGGGATGCGATGAAGAGGTTGTATGACTTTGACCGAACGTATTCGGTCGAGCAGAATCCCAGGAGGTCCAAACATACCAATGCGACGATGCCCCAGCGAATAGAATCATCGGCGAGCTTCTCATTGATGTCGCCAGCGAGGCTCCATTTATAGACTACGCCGAGCACACATCAGATGAGACAAAAGCGGAGAAGGCACAAGGCAGTACATACCATAGCCGAGGAAGTGGACATTTGCACCAATGACCATCAGCTTACCGACCAAGCGGTGAAGAAAGTTCAACTGCACGCCGCGATCAGCAACGTAATAAAAATCATGTTGATCAAACACACCTTTTCGTATCCAACACCCACCATCATGCCAATGATGTTGTTCTTGGTGGCTAATGCATATACAAAAGGAATTTGAGAAGTGATGACAAAACCGGCTCGGACAGGGTCCGTAAATGGATCCGACTTGTAGAAAGACACGTAGAATATGATACTGATGTACGCCAGCATCAGGAGAACTTGGTTAACGGAGTAGCCATTGTGGACACGTGAGCGTAACACAGACGCCACAGGGTGCCAGATAGATGGTAAAGTAGGGTCACGGTTTGGAACCTTCGGCAGGGATTTCTCATCGACGACATTACTTCGGTGTAGAGACGGTAATGGGGCGCAGACAGTCGAAGAGTCCCCGCGGTCAAAATCCATGAAGGACGGATTCTCAGAGTCATGAGGGTATGGATGGGTGACGTTGAGGTTCATCCTTGGCTTGGTAGAGGGGAGATGTGCTATTGAACGAAGGAGGTGACCTTGAGACCATTCTGACCTGCGGCTGAAACGAGCATACGCGCGTGGGAGACTGGCAACGGTGAAGATGAGGATTATACCAAAAATTAAAATGTCGGCGTGGTACACAAGGGTGTCGTCCAGACCCATGTTAAAGAGAGAGTGCTACGAAAGGATTGACGGTAGGATTCTGTGGGCTTGACGGTGTGGTGGGGACTTCCAGAAGCCCGCCTGAAAAGAATGAAGGATTGAATGGGTGGCCTGGCGAAAGTGGACAACGAAGGGAGACTTCGAAAGGGGCCGCACTATATATATGATCCATTACACCCCCATAACAATGAATTTTCCAATATAGAAATGGGCGACATTCATACACGGATCCGACGTACCTTCTTTACAATCAGATCATTATATAGCCATGCCATGGTTGCGTTTGATTCCAAAAATGTGGCAACCTTGACCCAGTTTCTAAAACAAGTTCTGTCTTGAACTCGGATAAAACACGATCAGGGTGAAGAAACAGATATACCACTCACACTACTACATCAACTGGCCTTGCAACAAAAGAACAACATTAACTGCGGCATATTGTTGTGGCGACAACTTGAATAGGATTTTTGCTGCTCAGCACCCAAAAAGGCATTTCTTTTTACACCCACCTTATGGTGTTATCACGGCCAACTCGGACATGTGAGAGTGTCCATACTAATCGCAATCATGAAGCGCCAGATACACAGTTGTTCAAAATCACAGAATGGGGCATCGTTCGCAAGAGCCCTGTTCCAAATTCCATCTTCGCCTGCTCATGCAGATATCGTCAATAGTAGTACGGTTTAGCCTGTGATCATGAACGCGGCTCTTGTACAGCTGTTGTGGCACTGGTAACTACAATTGTATTTAAATACCCAGGTAGGCTCGAGTCTGAATCGAAGAGCGGCCATATGTCACTCTGATAGAGCATCGCAACAATCTAATGCAGACTCGCTCCCACAGCATTTTGCTGTTAAAACGTTGATCGCCGGTGTCACTGTTCACATGCTTCACAGGATTATCATGATGCACTTTGCCATGCATGGCTGCAACACTTTGATGAAGAGTACAAGATCGTTGGCCGCAGAGATCTTGTATCGCACGCATCAGATACAAAGTAAAGTGACAAGGGTACACCATCTTTACGACACCAGTATGTGGTACTCTGAGTGTATATCAAAGCTTTTGTTGCTTGGCATGAGACTGTCGTCTCCAAGACCCGAGACATCGCTGCTTAATCTCAGAGTCTATCTCGCCTCAGAACCACCGTGACATCCTCCCACGATTCCGCAGCAGATGCATCTTGAAAGCTTGATGGCTTATCACGATAATCAACCTATGTAGACCACATGGCTGTTGTGCATCGTATGTCCATTGAACATCACAAGTACATCATGAAACGTGGCCCAAACAGGTCGGACAGAGTTAGGTCAGAATCTGTTATGATCAGCTTTAAATGAACGAAAATCACTATTCTTTTGAGGGTCTGGGTGGCCTGAAGGGAGATTAGCTGTTCAAAGATTGATGGCATGTTTCCATGCTGGATCACAGAAAAATTAAAGCGCACATATGAACTCGTGGGTGGATATGAACGTTTCCTTGGACTATGGCCCCGTTTCCAAAACACAGCAGCACGACGGGTGCGCAAAATTTGTCATGTATGATAGTACGTGTGACATTGATAATCGAGACCCTTGCATCCAATCAGGGGTACTCATGCATGTCATTGTCTCGTCGTCAACGTAGCTTCCAAGCACAATGCCAAGGGGACGAAGTAGGGAGAATTTTGGAAAAGCCAGGCACCTGTATCTTGATTGATTATTTTGCACAATGTGAACAACAACATTCCGTCCTTGATGACATATCTCACCTCGCATCTGTAACGTCGCTCACGCGGCTAGTCCCCGGCTCTGGCTCGCTTGCACTTTTCTTTCTGCAGCGAATTCCTCATTTTAGATCCAGACTATATCGCCAGTCTACCGGATGTTACTCGATTCAACTGAGCATATTCTCGCAATCTTACGAACACTGAATTTCAACTCATTCTTCATCTCTAGAATCCAGATCTGCTCTTTTTCAGTAGATACATCATGGCAGGCATCTTGGGCTTACTATTTGACGATCCCGTTGGCCCACGACATGACCTCTTCTCCGACCTCGTATTTATTCCCTCGCACCACTGACACGTTTCCAGCAACATCGACTGCGTTCGACGTGATTCTCGCGAATCAAAGCATTTGGTGGTGCGTGTACCCCAGTGCTAGGCGCCGGCACCCGCGGGTATGTCCGTAATGAGATTGTACACTTTACGAAACTGGCCTGTAGGTGAGACGAAGAGACCTAGTCCAAGCTAATTGAGCCAGTGGGTCGTTTGGAGTTGCGAAATGCCGGTCGCTGCCTCCACGTGCCGTCCCGGAGTGGGATTGACACCATATGCGGAGTTCTCGTGTTACTAAGAGTCATATTGCAGCCAGTGGCGACAAGGGTGGTAATGCAATATGGGCGCAGTCACAGAATCAGGACAGACGTGTTGTAGCCACAACAAGGGTCTTGGCTGCTGGAGACAAAAAATTATTCGGTCGGAAGGATTTCTGATGTTACATTGACGAGGCGGGTGACCAGCAAGGAGCGAGGAAAGGTTGCCGAAGAGCGTCACGAGATAACGTAGGTCCTAAATATTCTGTATCAGCGAAAGTACTGAAACAGGTTTGAACTTCGTGCAACGGAAGGAGTCACTGGGCAAGAAGGGGTTGCGACGAACGACGCGGTTAGAGTGAAAGCAAACGGCATTATCCGAGATTGCCGCGGCAAAACTCTAGGGTTGTGTATGACATTCCCAACGACAACTCATCAATATTTCAATGTTGCCTCGTCCCATCCGTCGCGCGTCATCCTCGCCATTAATGTAATGTAATTAACCTCATCTAGAATGGCCTGTGGAATTATTCCTTGTTCGACCGGATCCAACTCGCCAAAATCAACACCATTTCCCTCGAGCACTTCAACTTTGTCAAAGCTCTCATCTTCTTCGGTCCTCTTCAACTCTTTGAGAGCCGCAAATTCAGTAGCAATGTCGTCAGGCGAGATACTCTCTGCTATCTGGAGGTTCTGGACCAGCAAGAAAACCATTTGCATCACGAGGCTCGGTCGAGAGCGGAGGTGCCCATGCGAAGGATCATGATGCTTCAAGATTCTGTGCAGTCTCGACAGCAATGTCGAAATTGAAGCTGTCATTGATCAGTGATGCAAGGGGGCGTCCTTTAGTGTGCATCATCTCAGGTTCTGCTACCCTCCCTCCCTTCGCGAAAAACTCCCGAGTTCTGCTAACAACGCTGGATAAAGTTAAGGCGGTACTGAAAATTAGATGTAAGGAACTAACAAAGTCCTTCCTCCACTAACGTGGGAATCGGGGATGACTAGTGCTGAATCGATGGTTGCTGCTAGTGGTTATTCCCTTGCGAAAATGTTTGACGAGTTAAGTTAAGTTACGTTACAGCACCACCTAACCACCGTGGCCAGCAGCTGCGGAACCGTAATTGGCGGCGATAGCAGCGTGTAGTCCCCCGAGCCTGTGAGATTCGACTTATACGGACATTTGTTGAGGGGCAATAGGATGTGAGCGGGTCATCTTCGATCAAGCACCTTTGATTTTCATCTAATAACTGGTCTCTAGTGCCGCAGCCAAGCCAAGTTCATCTATAACAAAACCCGCACAATACACAACAAGCCTTCACCTCAGTGTGAATCCTGGTATAGGTTCATCGGAGTTGCATTGAAGCATTTGCACTATCTGCGTGCTCTGGTATCCACTAAATAATGTCAGGAATATGCCCAGTAATGGGTGGATCAACTTGTTGCCCGTGATATTGGAAATATCAAGAAGGTTTTACGCAAGTATTCCGCAACTGATATCAGCAACATCTATTTAACGTCTTCGGAAAACGCTCGCCGTCGCAATTTTTACCGTAACTACTGACCTGGCTACTCTCTGGTTGACGGCAAAGTCATGCGAGCAGCGAGCATCACTCTATCGAGTTTTTATATGTGTATGGTCGGTGAGTTCGTCTTCCGCATCCCTGCAAATGTGAATTGGATGAATAAATTATCATCGTTGACCGACGTTCGCCAAACCGCAGCAGAGGAACTTGTGGAGTACGTCCGGCATAAAATTTGAGGCCTTCAAGAAAATTATGTCACGGTGCGTGAGCAAGCACATGCAAATTTGGCCGCACCTTATACAATTCGTGTATAAATGCCAGCGGACTTTACTCAGAAAATACCATCAAATTTTAGCCATGAAGTTCACTTCACTCACCACTGCATTCGTTACTGCCGCAGCGATGACTGGCGTAGTTATCGCATCCGACGTCCCAGTCGGGCCCCCCAAGCAAGGGGAGAAAGCAACCCCCCCGGACGCGACGCAACTCTGCGACAAACCTGGTGAGCACTTTTACAACCTACGTGCAGACCTTATACCACATGCTTATTATGGGCATCCGCAGATGCATTTGGGTGCTCAAAGGGTATTGAAGGCTACAACGAAGGCAACGATTTTGCGTATACCTGCGCAAGTGAAGGGCAATTCAAGTCCTTGGTGCGATGCGCATGCAAAGATTGCTGCCACTTGAATGACGATGGGAACATTCCCGTATGTCCCGAGATAGCGACCCCCCCCAGTGCCTAAGTGAGTCTGTCTCTTTCTCGTTGTCTTCCGAGTCCGAGTTGCTGATGCGCTTGCTTTCGCTAGTGGATGTGGCCCGTATTGCAATCGTGCTGAAGCTGCGAAGCCATGAAACAATTAGCATGGTACGTGCAGGAGAGCGGGAAGGAGTACTATAATTGGAGGTCATGATCACTATGTCATTGTCCAAAGAATGAAGATAGATATTTTATAAATGCAATGTCGAATGAAGGAGGCGATTGACGAGGGTCGCATTGCGGCTATCTCGATTCTTGAGAGATTTTTGGAACATTTCTAGTTTTTTAACCCCCTAGGAATCGGAGTGCAGTTGCAACATCGGAACCACAAGCAATGTGAACTTCTGCTGCGATAAACGTGATGCGAGTTTGAATAGATGTGATGGGAAAATGCATTGAGAAACGCTGTGTGAGCACGCACCAGACGAACTCGCAAGCTCCGTCCGCAGGACTTCAAAATGTCGCAAAATTGCAAAGACACTTTGCATTTAGTCGTGCCTCAGAACACTTACATCCAATGCGCTGGGCAGCATCACGCAGGACAGAAACAGTCAAATAATTCAGATTGCTTTCGTAGCACATAGGCGATGCAGAAAGCCACACTGGATCGCGTGCGGCAGCGGAGAGAACGGATATTTCTGTAAAAGGCCGAAGGTCCTATGAACGCAACGCAAAACATTGGAACACAAAATAGTGCGTGTAAGACGGCGGCTCAAAGTGAGAACAGGAAAAGGCAAGCGATTCCTCACCCACTCGTACCACAACATTGGGTTCGTGGAAAGTGGAAGATCAGACGCAGGAAGGTCAAAACGACCGCATGCGGGACAGGACTGCACATGAAGCGCAAGCGCTGATCACAACCATGCACAAAAAGTAGGGGCAGTCGCGAAAATGGTGGGATGGTATGTGGTATCTCGTGTCCAACATCATGGGGTGGACAATCATGCAAGCTAAGCACTCGCGCACGCGGACAAGGTGACTTCCGCGAGAAAACAGACATCATGAGACGGCGAATAAACGATAATACAAGTTACAAGCACGACGAAACACGTACTCGAAGCAGGAAAGAAACTGCCACGTGCACGGTAAGCGAGAGAAGAAAAACGAAGATCTGGGTCGAACACAAGCGTCTCCGTCACATGTTAGCAAATGCTAAAGGCGAAACCAAAACGCACAAATGTAATGCGAGAGTTCGCAGCTGAAGATGAAAAATCTGATGTTACTGCAGCAGCGAGCTGCAGAAGTGAATGGCTTGAGACGAGAAGGATTCTTGTGTGGGCAGAACGGTCAGACTGACATTTGAACACAAGTTGTCAAGGTGAGAGAGCACGAAAAATGGAGAATATCGCACATTGACAAGAAAAAATAGCGAGGACAGACTAATGTATCAGAAGATAATATCGGGGAGTGGCAGACACGTACGAGATGCGTTGGACCAGTTGTTAATGACGCATTACGCAACTCCACTGACGGCCTTTGCTTTTGACGGTGTAAAAATCGCGCTATCAGAATACGGTCGACACCTCAAAGGCGTGCTGGTACAGGTGTACTGCGCACTAAGCCACAACATGGGTGGCAGAATGAACACATACAAATCAAAAATCATGGCCATAAAAGTGCTAGCACCGCTCCACGAATCATGGAAGGAAAATCGTGGATGTACAGTGCGAACGAACGGCACAGGGGACCAGCATTGATGCAAGAATTGGACTGAGGGGGGAAGGATGGAGTAGAATTTGGGGTGAATATATACAGGACGACAAGTAGACGGGCAATGAGATAATGATCGAAATCGCGAGTCGGGGACTTGTGCGCATGCACCAGCATCGTGATGTATCTTAGCCACGACACGCCTAGTGACCACCGATTCTACGATTTTCTGGTTCCCTGGCCATCTGGCTCTTACTCCTCGTCCTTGGACGCATCTTTGAATACCATTCCCATGCCAGCCGAATAACTTCACCATCGGCGTCATAAGGTGTTGCGATTTCACTGTATCCTGGGCGTGCTGTTGGGTGGCGCACGTATATGGCACTGCAGGTGGGAAACGAGACCTCTGCATAGGCAGGAATGAAAATGAAAGGAGACGCATATGGAGGAAGGTTGAAAGGCGTCAACGAGGACTTCGGATTTGAGGACTCGATTTTAGGCTCTGGTTCACCCTCGGACTCTGCCTCGGAAGACCCAGGCTCCTGGAGGAAACGAATGGCTACAGGGTCAACAGAGATCATGTCGCCTGGGGCTAGACGTGTGTTGGCATTTGTATGCTGAAGACGTGCATTTAGTAGTCACGTATCGAAGCTAGCGCCACAGAAGAAAACTGGCGCCACGCACCTTTTTGCCATTAAGTAGGATGGATCCATGAATTACAAGTCTTCGTGCCTCATAGACACTATGCGCAAAACAGCACCGAAAGATGAACACGTCGATGCGCCGTTCCACCTCGGCAAGCATTAAACTGCCCACAGGAGCCAAGCCTTTCTTCTGCTCGTCATATGCCTTCTTCTTCGCTCTCTCCAGTTGTTCGGTACGCCCAGCAAACGCATCGAGATCACCATTACTAGAAAGCGCATGCTGGCGAGGCCGCACATCGGGAAGTGTGTCGGGGAGGTACCACCGCTTGAAGATTTTCTCGTTTATGAAGTCGCCGTGGTACGCACGTACGAGTGCTTTCGAGATCCAACGCTGTTGAAACAACGTCTTGGGTGAGCGAGTGAAGTCGATGGCCACGGCCTCGGCCCCACAGGACCGCCTCCAGAGGTTGTAGAGATTACGCGGAGACCAACTCTGTTGGAAATATTTTGTGTATCTAGGTTTTAGCTGAAGAGAAGAGTAATAGAGCTGACCATTCGAGGCATAGCCTTGCGGAATGCAAAAACGTTGGCATCCCTCATGGTCAATGTACTAGCGTGTCCTCCAGCTGCTCACTGCTCAGGATGAAGTGAAAAACGTGACTACCAAAAATAGTTATTTACGCGTTTCGTGCATCTGTCACGTGATTCCGTCAGAATCTGCACATTGCATATTTTAAGTCGTCCTTGCCACTTGGCATGGTGATTTTGGAAGATCTCCTCCATATTTTGATGGCATGTCGAGTGGGCGTTATGTTCGAGGTGTATGGCTGTTTTTTGGTATCAGCAGGAACAACCTATAGTATGACCTTGTTTGTGTCAGATGTTCGATCACTGCTTTCGCTTTGCTATTCATCTCAAATTTTGACCCTCTAGCCCTGTCCTTCGTTTCAGTTCATATTCAACCAACTTACAATTACAACAGTGACCGGACGTTTGGCGTTCCCGCTTAACCTCATAACTGTTCTTGAGAAATTTGTTTCTTCTTGGTTCTGTCCATCTACCCTTGTAGAGATTCAGGCGAACACGACGTGAAGCCTTTGGCACCTCGTCTTTATCTGAACCTCTACTAGTACAGGGCACAATTTGAGGGAACATATATTTTCCACTATCCTGACTCAGAATACTCGCCAGAAGATGACGACACACTAAAGGGAATACGTTTTGTTGTGTCCTTCCCCCTAGGTTTGTCTGACAGCTCAACGTTAAGCCATGGTGTGCTGATGTCCATCACGATGATGTTCTTCGTGCTATGGGCACAGGCGCCGTCGATCGATGACGTAGTTCTGTACTGTAGGTGGACGGATAGCGTCAACGCACAGGACTTTGCTTACTCGTCACAGCTCCAGCAAACGAGGCGATTGAATCCATCGGCATTATACGATTCAATGGAACTCTGGGCGCCCATTCTATATATAGTGGCCCCCCGTCTCCAGAAATCGACGCCGCTTGGAATAGGATATCTGTTGATGGTTGCACTATGCTTCACTTACATCATAGACAATTACTTACTATATTTCCCAGCGCGTCCAGTTCGTATGACGCTTGAGCAACTGCTCAGAACACGGGAGAAACCTTCTCCCTCCATGGCTAGGTATCCGGACGAATACGGTGGAGGCTACATGGCGAGTGTAGAAGTCATTCACCAGCTCCACTGCGTAGTAAGTTGTGATACAGGGAGGCTGGTCGATATTTACTGACTCCCTTGTAGGACATGCTTCGCAGAGTCACCTGGGGTGACCATAACAAATCCTCGAGTCATGACTTCCACAAATCCACTGGAAGTTTCCGCATTCATCTCGGTAAGTATACTGTTTCCTGCCCGGCCCACATCCTGCTCACTAGTCCTCAGACCATTGCATCGAAATGATCAGGCAGAACATTATGTGCCGCAGCGACGTGACGATGCTCACTTACGACTGGGTGGAGGGAGTCAAAGAACCTTTTCCTAACTTCAACATTCTTCACCGATGCAGAAACTTTGAGAAGGTCTTGGATTGGATTGATGAGCATCGTGTTTTCGTCTCTAAGTCCAAGGTGGTCCGCTTGGAGGATAACGTGGACTTGGCTTCCCCTCCTTGATTGCAGTCTCGAAATATTCTCTTCAAACGGCAGCTAGCTGCTCTCACGTATATCACGATATGACGAATGTAGTACTAGTAGACCACCTACGAATGTCCTTGAACATGTTGCAAAGTCGAATGGAAATACTATCTCTGCTGAATGAATCAATAATATTACTGGTGGAACCTACTTGAGCATTGGTCTGGAGATTGCCCATTCTCAGAAGCTCTTCTTCCTACCAGTACGGCCCCGATGCCTCCTGAGACCATGAAATTAATTAGTGTTGCCGTCGAAGTGAAGTGACTAGATTTGTGACCAAGTCTGTCTATGAGAGTCTATCGACGGCTCGCCTCATGGAACTCTTGGCCATGTTGTCAGAAATTTGGCCGGTCTGGAACGTCGACACGACAGACGGTGAGCAGCCGTGAGAAACAGTGATGCAGTAAACTTTCATACTCCGCTTAGAGGCTAGACCTTGACCCATGTCGTCATGTAGACATCATGACATCATTGTTGTCTCTCCGAGATCTGGAAACCCCAGGCGATGTTGTTGGCAGGTAATCGCGCTTTTAGGTGCGTGATTGGCAGGCAAAATCACGGTCGAAACGTGACCTGGCTGTTTCCCCAGGAATCGACCGGAAATGTCCTTTTTGGGAAGGGAATCCTGCCCTAGGACGAAACGCCCGCCACCGTCTCCCTCGTCGTTCACCAGGTCGACGACTTCACGGCTCACACGAATCACATCTTTCTCACTTCTCATGGACGCCCATCCAATCACTGCGTTGAGCCGTAGGTTACTCGCAAGTTGAATAGGTCACGGTAGAAGCCGTAATTACAACTACAATGACTAGTCATCGACATCCATTAGGACAGCTGCCTTCATCCTCTACTACGCACTATCAGATCTTCGAACCGTATATACTCAATGTCATCAACTACGCCGTCTCATTCAGATTGTTTGTAAACACTAATAGCTTTTAATAGACGGCCTCGTTCGCTTTCCCATTGGTGCGATACTCGTAAGTTAAAATAAGTCTCATTTAGCTCAGGTATGTATCTAGCGTCTAGACGGTGCATACACGTCGCGACATTTTTTTCATCTAAGTCTTATCGGATCCTCATCTTATCTTCCTACCACCACCATGAACGACGACCAGGTGAGTCCGCTTGTTTCTCGTTCTCATTTACTTTACTAAATGAATATCCTGCTCACAGCAAACTGTTGGCCACACGACGAGGTCGAATCGACGTCTCGTATGGTGCGACTGCGATGTTTGCAAATTCGCAGCTCCCACCAAAGGCGGCCAGAACATCCCCGCATATAACGTGAAAACCATCGTCGCAATCAAAACCTCAGCTTATCTGCAATAGCGCAACGAGGTCGAGGAGCTTCAAGTTCTTTGCAACGTGACCGTGGAGGCCTCCATGTTCCCTCTCGAGCGCGTGGGTCAGCCCCCCCTCGAGGTGCTCCTCCTCAACCTCGGGGTTCTGCTCCGCGATCTGCAAATTCTGGAGTGTCAGGTTCTCGGTCTTCAGTGCCTAGACTGACCCAGCCAACAATTCCGCATGAGGTTCCTGTTCCGTCTCGACCACCATCCCCATCTCAACCAGAACCCATGGTTCTTTCACGCGCACCATCTCCTTCGTATGTTTTTCTTTGTATTTGTGCTTGGCTCACCAATGTTTTCAAGATTTTCGTACATGGATGTGGACAACACTCATCCGGAACCGCAGGAACACGAGCATCCTCTATCAGCCACCCCGCCGCCACCAGACCCCTTGCCGCATGCACCATTATCTCCTCTGGCTGCCATGCCATCACCCAGCTCTCCTTATCTTCGTGTTATCTCTTCTCCTCGTCCCCGCCCTATCTCCGTCATGCGCACGAGTCCAGTTCCGTTTGGCGGCCCGATCCCAGTTGCCCATTCAATACCGGCACTAGTACCTCGCCAGATTCAACGGGCGGACTTGGATGCCGAAACCCAAAATGAAAATGCTCAACATACTGTAGCTCGAACGACTGTCGGCTTGTATGACGATCCGGATGCCGGAGACAACCTCCATAATGATCCACTTCTCCATACCGCGACGGAACTCAATGGAGACTCAGAATCAGACAACGACACTCATCGAGCGAGGGTGCTACGGACACCTGCAAACTCTCAGCACCGTCAATTCCAAGTGCCCACACCCTTAGAATACGAGGCTCCACCCAGTGCGGCTCAACTTTATCGTGATAGCCATACTGAATGGTTTGGACGTCTTGTCCTGCTCTTAGTTGCAGTCCTTCATGCCAAACACCGGGTATCATTTCGTGCATGTGCGCTGATCCTTTTCACGCTCAACACCATCCTCGTCGCACTCAATGTACTCCAACCAACTAACCCACTTCCCATAACGCTACACACAATCATCAATCGCTTCGATCTCCAGGACCGCTTCACCATCTATCCGATCTGTGGTAGCTGTCATCGGATCTTTCCTATAGATGCACCAATTGATACATTATGTTCCGATTGCGACAGCCGTCTTTTCAAACCTATTTCTGACAGACTTTTTCGAAGGTTAACAGGGCGCCAGTCTCAACGTCCACCACCCATTTGCGCAGCACCAATTCAACTCCCGTCGTCGCTCCTTGCCGATTTTCTAACGCGGGGTGACAATGAAGACAGCTGTAGTTCCTGGAAATCCCGTTCCACGGTGCCTGGCGAGCTCAAAGATATATCAGATGGTGACATATGGAAAACTATTAACGGCCCTGACACGAGACCCTTCTTTTTGGACCCTCAAGACAACGGCGAACTGCGTATAGGTGTTACAATGAGTCTTGACTGGTGCGCTTACTTAATTCTATCTCGATCAAAATATTCATACCCTTTCTCTTCCCAGGTTCGGTCGTAAGACAAGTGTCTATGGACCGAGTTATTCATCAGGTGTTCTGTCCTTGTGCGTTTCCAACTTACCGCGAGCGCTCAGGTGAGTTATTGTTTGGGTCGTTTGTGCATATCTGAACGATGGTTATTCCAGGTATCGAGCAGAAAATCTATTGGTCTGCTTTATGACTCCAGGGCCAAAGGAACCAACAGGATCACAGCTTCAGAATTACATGAGACTCGTTGTTGATGACCTCCTCCAGCTTTATGACGAGGGCATCATATATCATACTCCTGCATATCCACAAGGTAAGTTTCATTGATATGCTAGTTGTTTATGTATTGAATCAATCTGCAGGACGAAGAGTACGAGTTGTTCTGCTTGGCGTTGTCTGTGATCATCCTGCTATGTGCAAACTTAGTGGATTCGCTGACCACAGTCATAACAACGCGCCGTGCTCTAAATGCCACGTCTCGCAAGATGATTTATTTTCTGACGAATCCCTTCGTAACAGTACGTGCCTCAATTAATCATGGGACCTTTGTAATTGTCTTGTAGAGTTTGCAGCTCGCGATGGTGAAGCACATCGCCAACGATGTTACGAAGATAACAAGCTGTTGGACGACGACGCACATACGACGTTCTTCAAAGAACATGGTGCCCGATGGACTGAACTTGCCCGCCTCCCATATTTTGACCTTGTACGACAAACTATCATAGACCCGATGCACAATCTTCTTCTAGGTACATTTGAAATCCACATGAGGTGTTATACTGAGCTAATGTTTCTGCAGGGATTGTTAAGACGCAGTGGTACAATCGATGGATCCAAAACTCGGCACTTCGTGCTTCAACCGATGCCCGAGCTCGTGAACTCGACATGATACACAAGTTCCTCGCCTCCGTGAGTGGACCCTTTGGTGAGGCGTGTATCAACCATACTGAACATTCACATAGTTCGAAGCACCATTATGGGCTGGTAAACTGCCACTCCGTGTTGGAGAACCTGCGGGAGGCTCGCTGACAGCCGACGAGTACAAATTTGCAGCGCTAACTGCATGGCCCATCATTGTAGGATACCCAGCCATTTTGCTTTGTTGATCACTCATTTCTGTCCTTAGATCCCGATTGTTTGGCAAACCTTCATCAACGAGTCGGACAAAGACTTCGAATCTGCACGGAAGCGCCATCTCAAGGCCCAAGAAAAATTCAACAAGGACTTCATGGCGTGGAAATCGCGTCAAGAACTTCCACAGGGTAGTGCGAACACGGGAAAGAGAGGTAACCGAAGCAAGGAGGATGCTGAGCCTAAACCTCCGAAGCAACCTAATGTCCGCATGCAGCGTGACGAGCCAACTAACCTACTACGTCTATCAACTGCACTTAAGATATTTTGTGGAAGCTCTGTGCAGCTTGAGCTACTACCACCCGAGCTGAAGTCCTACTTCAAGAGTATCTTCTTGAATTCAAACGGGTAAGCTATTTCTCCTTTGATACTCTGGCTAACTATGTGCCCTTAGATGTATGGCGAAGGATCCATGAAGCCCAATTTTCACTGGGCCGTTCACCTCGCCCAGCAAATCAGAGACTATGGGCCTGTATACAACTTCTGGGCGTTCCTGTCCGAGCGACTCAACAAGGTTCTGAAAAGTTCTAACTCGAACAACTGGACAGGTGGGCAGGTCGAAATCTCGATGATGAGGGAGTTCATGCGTGCGGCACAAATTGATTCCATGGTCAGCGGTTTCACATGCTAAGGACCCCCCCACTTCACATCGATGCAGCTCATGCTATGATATCGCCTTGATGCCACTCAACCGCACCATAAGAGGAAGCAGCGACACATTCACTCGACGCGTAGTACTGTACGCAGTCTAGATGAAACTTGTACAAAATAATTGTCAGTCGGGAATGCGGTAACCGCGTGAATGAAACATTACCCTAAACCTAGAGACAAGCAGCGTCAGAATCTCACTTTCCAAATACCACACGCAGACGATGGGGTGCTTACCAGTGATTAAAGTTCAACTCAAACTTCTTCAGAAATTCCCAGCGTTTGTTCATCGCCTGGTGGTCGTCGCCGCTCTCCGCTGCTGCCAGTGCTTTATTGGCGGACTTGGTGAAGGAGGTGTACGGTGCGAATGTAGAGCACGTCACTATCATGCGGGAGTACGCCTAGAGGTGCGACGATCAGTGGGTGTTTGGGTCCGAGCTCGCACACTTACAGCAGTTTGGCACTCGTTAATATGCATTCTTTCAGGTACGTGTCCAGAAAGTCCACATGATCCCTCAGAAGCTGGTCTACGGTGGTTACCTTAACCAATTTCGCCTCCAGCCCCCGTAAGTTAGGTTCAAGAACCTCGAATGTCGTAAAAGCTAGTATTTGCTGAACGAAAGCGAGCATGCGAGCTCTCAGGAGTGCAACCCGCAGTCGTCACTACTCGAACTCAGGGTGGTTTAGCACAGGACGCCGCCAGGGACTTGTCTTCTGTTCTATCCACATCGATGCGAGCGACTGTTCTACATGCTTGAGATGTAAGAGAAAACGGAAGAGGAGCTGATAACGCAAAATCGGTTTGCGAGAGATGACGAGCGAAAGCGGGAATATCACGTTGTAGTCGAGTGTAAGAACATCGATTGCTTGTTTGGGATGAGCAAGGACGGCAGCTCAAAAGTTTCACGCACATACCTAACATATGCTTTTTGTAGTCCTTTCAAGGGGTAAGTCAGACGACGCCTGAGCCATGGGGGGAATTGACCTCGAGCATGCCCAGATAGCAGCGCAGAGTGCAAGATTGACAAGCCTAAAATCGAGGTGGCTGCGGCTCTCTACAAAAGAGGAGATAGCAGTGTAGTGAGTGCCGAGGGTCACTATCCGTTCTGTTAGGTCTCGAAGGGACGAATCTGTAAAAAGTATGATCGAGAACGATCTCCCCTGAGCTGTCAAGACAAACCTAGGGGAAAGGACACAACAAGATGTATTCCCTTCAGTGGGTCGTCATCTTCTGGCGAGCGTTCAGGATAATGGGAAATATATGTTCCTCGATATCCTGTAGAGGTTCAGGTGAGAACGAGGTGAAGCACAAGGCAGAGGCACGAAAATTAGTAAAAACAATTATGAGGTTAAGCAGGAACACCAAAGCTCCGGTCATTGTTGTAATTGTAAGCTGAATATGAACTGAAATGAAGGAAAGGTGATGAATAGGTGGTGATCGAACATCTGACACAAAGAAGGTCGCAGGATGTTCCAGCTGATACCACAAAACGGCCATACACCTCGAACATGACGACAACTCGCGAAAACATACCATCAGAACATAGAGGAGATCCTCTACAATCAAAGCATCTTGTATATCTACGAGAAGATTATCCAATACATCTTTCTTCGCCTTCGCCTTTGTCTTAGGTATCGAAGTAGATGCACCGACGCCCGAGCTCAACGGCGCGCGCACGATCGAAGTCTCAGCCATAAATAACGGCTCCTAGCCTGCATGTCATCAATACTTTAGTACGCAACTCATCGAGGTCCACGCACTTTTGCCGTGATGAGCGCAAGCGAACATCTGCATCTTCGTAGATGTCGTCGCTCCGTTGTCTGTTCTGCGAACAGAAGTGATAGTGTCTGTGATCTGAATGGTCGATCGCCTGCATGTCATAATAAGTATACATGACAGGCAACCGTGAAGTGAGAGGGTTCATACTAATTTTAGAACAACTATGCAAGTTGCAGATTCGGACGCAATAGATGCACAAAGCACGTGATAGCTGGTTGATAACTTACATAACACATAGTCGTGCGCAGGCGCGAGAAAGCTGTGAAGAATCGTCCTATCGGAAGTCGGAGGTCTCGCGAACGCTGGGATCTGGAAACCCCAGGCGATGTTGTTGGCAGGTAATCGCGCTTTTAGGTGCGTGATTGGCAGGCAAAATCACGGTCGAAACGTGACCTGGCTGTTTCCCCAGGAGTCGACCGGAAATGTCCTTTTTGGAAAGGGAATCCCGCCCTAGGACGAAACGCCCGCCACCGTCTCCCTCGTCGTTCACCAGGTCGACGACTTCACGGCTCACACGAATCACATCTTTCTCACTTCTCATGGACGCCCATCCAATGGCCGTCGACGCCAGTACTACTACTGGCTCTGATGCTGTCATCGACCCGGACTTGCTTGCGCTGTCCAATCACAGCGCACCATCACCAATACCCACCAGACTTGGCAACTCAACCTCCCAAAGCGGTGAGTGCCCTGCTTTCCCTGACAAGCGCTCGCTGACTCACGCCAGCAGGAGGACTCGGGCCCATACGAAGTCCTCACTCTTCCCATCGACGAGGTGAGTTTGATTTTTCTTTAAACATATTGCATTATGTACGCTACACTAACAAACTACTGTGTCCCAGGGAATCCTCCGTACGCAGTACCATCGCATGCCGGAGGCAATGGCACTACAAGGTCCGTGACTCGGACTCCTTGTCACTGACGAAGTGTGTGCAGTGACGCTGACACTCCCTTCCTGCAGCAAAACCCTCACCGTGAAGCAGCTGCAAGTGCTGTGCCGTGAGCATGGGTTGAATACGCGAGGGAAAAAGGCAGACCTGATCGAGCGCCTCGCTGCCGCAGTGCCTCCGAGTCCAAAGTATGTTGGGCGCGTTTTTCCCTATGTGATTCTCACTGGTTTTGGCATTCTGTCTGCAGTACAGTGCCTCCTACCACCACACCCACCATCCCAGAAGCCAGTTCTCCATCCTTGGTGCTGCTCCCAACTGTGAATTCCCGCGTGCCGGCAGGCCATGCACCCACAAGCCTGTCCCCCAGGACCTGGAGATGATGTCGATCTGCTTGCGTCGCATGACGCAAGCCAGCTGGCCCGTTCCTTCCAGGATGCCTACAATGGCAGTGATGGGGGCATCATGGACGACGACATGGACGACGATGGTGCTCACACGGCTGGAAATGTTCAGGATGACGAGGAACTGGTGGTGCAAGCAAGCGGTGAGTTTCCATATGTGTAATAATTGATGCTTGCTGATCATCACTCGTACTAACAGGCCCGTGTTTGGTGGCCATCAATGATGCTAAAGCTTGGGTAAGTTGCACGCCCTTCTGAGCTCCATGTCCTGGCTGATGGTGCCATGAGGTGGACCAATTCATCATGAGCACCCGACGAAAGGGCGGACAGCAAATGGAGAAGAGTGTGCTCAACATTTGGAAGGTATTTCTCGGTTCCTCTCCTTATTTTTTGGCCGCAACAATTGAATGGTCCCGAAAAACAGCGCTGGTTGACTGCTGCAATTGCATCAGGTGAAGTCCCAGATATGATAATTGATGCACACCACATCATCCAGTACTTGAAGTACACCGCTACCCACAAGCTCCTCTCGCGAAATGGCTGTGAACGTGATTCTGCGCATGGGTCCCTCTCTGCGGTGAGCTTTGAACCTTGTGTTGTGTGCGCGCGCACTTGTGCTGATCTCCTCTGGGTGCCACCTCAAGAGCTTGTTCAAGAAAACCATGGTAATGCTTGGTCGTGTCCGACGCCGTCAGGTTGACGACAGCCTATCTCTCGAGCATGCACGTCCCATATTCACACCATGTATCTCTGACTTTTATAAAGCACTGATGGTTCAAGCACAGCGCCTCCATCTCGAGTATGTCCAAGGCACAATTTTGATAATATTTTTGGGCTGATTCGTGTTCTGTCCAGGCGTGAAGACTTCGACATCACCAAAAACACAATCCTCGACTCACACCTTTTTCCAGAGCACTTTGAACAAGTCAAGAAATCAGTGTTCATGCACCTCACGCAGCGTGAGTTGGTCTTTCGAGTGCCGTCAGCTCAATCACTCACTTATGGCCGTCTTTATGTCTCTTGCAGTGCCATCTATCATCAAGGGTCACCAATGCTGGACTTGGCAATGTACGACACTCAATCGGGGTGACGAGCTGGTCAATCTGCCGCTCTCGTGCATCCAGCCTTACAAGATCTTCATCCCAGACTATACGACAGCCGATGGGAGAAGGAGCGGCAGCGGACAGTTTTTTTTTGGTGTTTTGTCGTTGTACCATGAGACCAAGGTTGCAAAACCTGGCGTGAGCATCTGATCTTCCCGCACTGAGCCCTTTTTTACATTTGCTATGTGATTTTCTACCTGTAGAAGCAGGAACCAGAATACAACTTTGTGCTCCCACACAGAGACCTGCTCAAGTGCCCGATCGGGGTGCTTGCCATCTTGCTTCACTATCAGTTCGACCAGGAGGGCCTGATGGACAAGTTCGAGGGCTGGGACTGGTCCCGTCCCAGCTCGTGGCATGAGGTCAGCACAGAGTGCAACTTAGTGATTCGTGTCTCAAGCGAGTTTGATACAGGTCAAGCTCTTGTTTGGAAAGCACATCGGACAGCCATCCAGCGGTGATGCACTGCGGAAGATGTATACAACAATGTTAGAGCCAACGACCATCACATCGAAAAAGAAGCTTCACCTCGCCCGCCGAACGATGCCGAGTGTGATGGAGGACATGGGGTGGGTCAATTGTTTGTTGGTCTGACCTGCAGCTGATAGTATCACCCGAAGTGTACACGCGGATGAAGTTGATGCTGTTGGGCACTGGGAGGGAAACACACGGCGCGAAACCTATGCGGCAAAGATTCCAAAATCTGTAGGCAGTCCTGCATCCTCTTTGCTATGTTCTCGCTCATGAACATCCTGTCAAGGCTGTCTGTGCTCTTGCTGGCTTCTACGTGGGAGAACAGTACTGTGTTCCATGGGTCTCGACACAGGTGCCTGCAGAGCTGCAGATGCAGATTTTTCCGTTCGTCGAGGATGCTCTCGCCAACCTCCGCCAGGCACCTAATCTGAACTATGGCACCGTGAATTTTCTGGAGTTGTTGCAGCTTCTGCGTCCCTATTTTTGGCGTGTAAGTGGGGAATATCCACCTGTGAAAACTTTGATTCTGACGGAGTCGCACGGCACACATCACACAGGCAATCGCTGCCGTTCATCAAGCATTTCCTGGCTCTGCACTTCTGAAACGGCTGAAGGTCCTTCAGTCTGGCAGTGCCCAAGGCTTTTTTCGGCAATGGCCCAAGGAAAGGGAAGCTCTCGAGGTGACGGCGCAGTCGGACCTTACGATCTGCAGTACATTTTTGGAGGCTGCCACTCAAAGTGCCTTTGTATCCCTCGCAAACTGTCAGCGCCAGTCGGACACCATGATCAATGCTGTGCTCTCGCACTGCAGTCAACTCCTTCGACGAACAGAATCACTCTCTCCAACTAAGCGCTCCAACACGACATCCTCAATGGCCCCCCAGTCCCTGCCTCAAGGGCCATCTGGGCCAAGCACCAACAAATCTAATCTCACTGAGGTTCATCCAGCAGCAACAAAAGCGGGACATAGTACTGGTCAGGCTCTGAGTCTTCCACTGCCTTCGGAGTTGCAGGCTGAGTGCAGCGAAGCCACACTCTTGCAGCACCTGCAGCCCACTGGCAACTTGAACCCAGTAACCACCTTCCACCTTGGCTGCTCCTTCCACATATTGCTGCTCTCGCCAACAGTTCCTCCCGACTTCCGTTCTGGGCATGATCTCATCATTCCATCGGCCGAGGCATTCCACGGCTCGATCACTAGTACCTCTATGCCTCAGTACCCTCAGTTCACACCTCGCAACTGCAGCTGGACTGCCATCTTTGAGATGGTGAAGCAGCCACACTTTCTTTGGGCTTGCTGGCATCCTGGCAACCTGGGTGAGTATCATTCGATCAAGCAGCTCTGGGCCACTTGGCACGAGGGCACGATCATTGACAGTGTTGGTCAAATGCCTCCCCTCCTGCTCGTCGAGCAGGAGTGGGGAGGAACAAAGAACCCCTCGACTCGCAAAGGGCGCCGTCAGACTTGGCGACCTCATAATGATACCAATATGAGTGCTGCTGTCACTCTGCTTTCCTTGTACTGACACTGATGCATTCTCACCTGTGAATGTTCTTTCAGGTGAGGCGAACAGTGGTCGCAATTCATGTTCTTCGTCACCCAGGTCAACTCCATGATGGGTGCTGGTAATCATGCGTCCGAAGCTGTTCGGATTCTGGATGAGCAGGCGTGGGTCGATGACAGTTCCCCAGTTCCACTCGAAACTTCAGCCAAAGAAGACTCGGACAGGACATACTACAGCAGAAGGCTCATTGCCGTCCAACTCTGCAAGCCCGACATGAGATCACACCATGGCCTGTTCACTTTCTCTCTCGTTTCTCTGTGTTTTGTTTTAGTTTGGCTGACTTCAGGCTTTCCGAAACCTCCTTTTCTGCCTTTAATATCTCCCTCATAATCACCAGTTATCATGCATAGCCTGCATTGCTCAGTAGTTGCACAACTCTACACGCTAATTTTGTTCGTGTCTACGTTCCGTATGACAGCCCTCGCGCACTTAAAAGAGTCCCAGCCGCAACCAGCCAGGCCTTAAGAAGATTCGAGGCTTTCACCCCCATGGCTCAGACTCCGTCCAACCAACTGTCCAACCAGCCAGGGCCTTAAAAAGATTCGAGGCTTACTCCGTCAAACCACCTGTCAGTCAGCCAACCAGGGCCTCAAACAGATTCGAGGGCTCGAGGGCTCGAAGAGCCCTGGCCACCGGCCCAGTACAATGTTCGGCAAGAGCGGTGGCCGGAAATGCCCGAGGAGAAGTGTTGTCCCGCCCACCAAAAAATCGTGACCGAAACCGTGATCCGCTCCACGCAGACTGTGATTCTCCTCATTCGAAACCGTGATTGGGGGAGGAAAAGTGTGATTCGGCGCTCGCCGAGGACAAAAAAGTGTGATCCCGCCTGTGTGATCCAGGTCGGAGCTCGAATCACGATCACGCTTTTTCGCCTGAGAACATCCATACTTTCAATTTGTCCGTTACAAACTCATGCGATGTCCGCACGTCCGCGTCAGGTACAGATCTATCTAGTGCTATATTCAATTTTGTCTAAGCTTAGATTGAATATTGACACCCGCGTATGAACCTAAGCCGACCGTGGCTTTGGACAACCGTCGTGAAAGCTCAAGCCCTCCAAACCAGGCCTAAGCCGGGACTTTCAAGCCGAGTCGGGCCCGCTCATCATTAACTGATTCTGGTCCAAACTCATCCCAGGCTTCTCGTTCCTCGCATTTATCTGATCCCGGGCCTGTCATTCCCCATTGAATACTACCTCCATTCCAGCGCTCCGCTGGGGCATGTGACTCTCGCACCGATGGAGTTGCTGTACGATAACCTAACAAGAGATACAGCCGATTAGGGGACAAATTCGAAATTAATACCACACTCCTGAATATTTGCATCTACCCTCTTGTGTTCCCAACTATCCCTACAACCCCCGAGTTCAGTAAACGGAGTTCCCGCAGGATCTTGGTCAAAGATTCCTCACAGTACTCTCCTGTCGATCCTGTTGACAATTATAACGAGGAAAAAATCATCTGATGATGCAGAAATATTGCCTGCAGAACCTCGTACCGGGTTGCATACCTTTCGCGTGTGGCCTATGTTGAGCCATGGCGCGTTGATATGCACGTCGATGTTCTTTTTCGCACTATGGACGGGCACGCCTTCGTCCCACCTGCGTGACGACATTCCTATATACTGTGAGTGAACAGAGTACATCGAACGGTGTAGTCATTAATCTCCCACAGCTCCAGCACATGTTGCTGTCGAGCCCGTCATTGTAAGGTTTAACGGAACCCTCGACTTTCCTTCTATCTATCGTGGCCCTCCTTCTCCAGAAATTGATGCTGCTTGGGCCAGGATAGCTCAAGATGGTGCGTCGTCCAATTTTTTCCCGTCATCCTAATTAGTGATCGTTCACGTCCATGAAACCTCAGTGCTACCGACTCGAATGTCGCTTGATGAATTTGTCAAAGCCAGCGAAGTAGATCCACCTTCCAAGGTTAAATATCCAGCTGAATTTGGTGGGGGTCTCGTGGTATCCATACAAGCTTATCACCAACTCCATTGTCTGGTAAGCTATACAACACCTGAAAGTCTAGTCGTTCTTGCCTCATGTTTTGTAGAATTTACTTCGCAGAGCCTCGTGGCCCGAGTATTACGAACCCACAGATACTTCGGCCGAAGTAGGCCCAATGCATCTTGGAACATATCCTTTTTTTTATTGATGGCACTTCCTGCTTATCATATACATTACAGATCATTGCATTGAAATGATCAGACAGAATATCGTGTGCAATGCCGACGTGAAGATGATAACATGGGACTGGGTTCAAGGACTCGACGCCCCATACCCTAACTTCAACACCCGCCACCAATGCAGGAACTTCGAGAAAATCTTGGATTGGGCTGTCCACGCTGTCCATATCCCTCAATTGGCGATTACTCGTTTTGAAGATACAGTTGACATCCCCTTGCCCATTGATCTGATGGACCATAATGGATAAGGAATATCGCGCTACTTGCTCACTACCCACATTCACGAGTATCTTGCAAGAATGGCAACGATTAGGAAGAGCGTAGTCGAATTAATGTATTGTTGGTACATCAATGATCGTAACGGCGCTGGGAAGTGCCAGTCCTCGACTCCAAGAAATAATGACAGATTGGTGACAAACTGTATACTCTGTTTTCCTTCTGGACGGGCTTGACAGACAGAGTGCGAGATAATTTCCCGTAACAGACGTTCAGTGACAAGCACACCAAACTTATGAGCGAGAATCTAACAGCTAAACATGGTCCAAAACACTCGCACCAATATGAAATAGGTATGATGCACGTTCCCGAACATGATTACGAGTGCATTACATGTTTTTCAAGGAGAGAGATCATCATCAACAGATGCCGAAATCCACGGTGAAGACAGGCTCGCGTATCCGCTGAATCGATAGCAAGAGATGCGCTAATGTGACAGGAGGAGTGCTTCCGAGAACCAACGCTGTTGAAACAGCGTCTTGGGCGAGCGAATGAAGTCAATGGCCTCGGCTCGGCCCCACAGGACCGCCTCCAGAGGTTACATGGAGACCAGCTCTGTTGAAAATATTCATGGTCGATGGTAGACAAAACTGGTTGTACCGTTGCAGTTCGACTGCGAACTTGAAGGAGTTTGGAAGAAAAACGTGACTACCAAAAATAGTAACTGGCTATCATTTACGCGTCTTGCACATCTACCGCGTCTGTCTGCAACTTCCATAGTCGTCCATTAATATGGACCCTTACACTCCACGAACGCGTCCAGGAGGCCGCAAGAAGAACCTTGGTTTGTCTGCAAAAGAGTACAGCAAGGTACAAGTCTCCTTACCTGTCATGTATACTTATTATGACAATGCAGACGATCGACCATTCAGATCACAGGCACTATCGCTTCTGTTCGCAGAAACAGACAGCTGAGCGATGATATCTACGAAGATCCAAATTTTCGCGTACACTCATCACAAGGAAACCGTGGCAACAGTACGTGGTCCTCGATGACCTGCATGTTACAGTATTGATGTCATACAGGCAACGAGCCGTCATTTATCGCCGAGACTTCGTTCGTGCGCGCACCATTGAATTCGCGAGTTGGCGCATCTGCTTCGATACCCAAGGCAAAGGGAAAGGCAAAGGAAGATGTGTTAGACAATCTTCCCGTGGATATACAAGAAGCTTTGATTTTGGAAGATCTCCTCTATGTTTTGATGGTATGTCCAGTGGTCGTTATGTTCGAGGTGTATGGCCGTTTTTTTGATATCAGCCGGAACAACCTATGATCTTGTTTGTGTCAGATGTTAGATCACCGCTTTCGCCTTGCTGTTCATCTCAAATTTGACCCTCTCCCTTTCCTTCGTTTCAGTTCATATTCAACAACAATGACCGGACGTTTGGTGCTCCCACATAACTTCACAATTGTTCTTGAGCAATTTGTTTCTTCTTGGTTCTCATACTCCTGCCCCGTGCTTCACCGCGTCCTTAACTGAACCTCTACAGGGCATTGAGGGAACATATATTTCCCACCACCCTGAATACTCGCCAGAAGATGACGACCCACTAAAGGGCATACGTTTTGTTTTGTCCTCCCCCCTAGGTTTGTCTGACAACTCAGGGGAGATCGTTCTCGCTCATACTTTTTACAGATTCGTCCCTTCGAGACCTAACGGAACGGATAGTGCCCCTCGGCACTTACTATACCGCTATCTCCTCTTTTGTAGAGAGCCGCAGCCACCTCGATTTTGGGCTTGTCAATCATGCGCTCTGCGCTGCCATCCGGGACATGCTCAAGGTCAGTTTCTTCATCACTCAGGCGTCATCTTACTCACCCCTTGAAAGGACTACCAAACTCTCCTCTCTCAACTCGAACATGCATTCAACACCTCGCCGCAATTCAGTCTACAGAAATTGTGGTTCTATGTTCACCCAACAGTGCATACACTGTCCCTTATTTATCAGCTGATCCTCGAGCTGGCTACCACCGATGACGACGACGGCTCTTCGTCCTCATCTTCTTCTGAGTCCGATCCAGAGCAGGCGGCACGAGATGAAGCACTTGGGCTCGGCGGGGCGAAGCTGAAGGCCGTTTTGTCTGACATGAAGAAGAGCACATCAGATGCACCTATTAATGTAAAGGGTGGGGAAGTACTGACGGTGATATACGAGCGGATGCAGACTATGTCAGGTGACCCCACCGCGGTCAAGGTATACGGCACCCTTCTAACTGCAGCGGGGGTGCCCTATGTTGAGATGCTCAGAGTATGGACAACTACGGGTCGTCTCGAAGACCCATACGAGGAGCTGTGTGTCAAGGAGAGCAAGTTCATCAGCAAGGGCATTTTGGAAGTAGATTACACGGACGAGTATTGGGAAAGGCGATATACGGTGAGCTTTGTGGCTGCGAAAATGGGGTGAATGTGTACTGATGCCTGGGTAGCTTCGTGATGGCTCGACCCTTTCTTCGAAGCGCCAGCATACAGGCGTCCCTCCGCCACGTACTGCTGGAGGTCGATTACCCGGTGGCGCTTGTATACCTCCCCTTCTGGAGGGTTGGAAACACAAGTTTTTACTTGCGGGGAAATATCTTAACGTGATACGTGAATGTGGAATCGAGGTGCAAGCCGATCAGAAGGATTTAACGAAAAATTCCCTGTCCATGGAAGATGAAAAGTGTGTTTCTTCATTGGGTTGAGTCTCCGTGTCTTTTTTCATGGGTATTTTCAGGCTTTACAAATTTATCGAAGACGCGTATACACATGCGAATCGTACTCTCTTACGCCTCCTGCTGCAAGATCAACAGCTCATACCTCGGCTCCGCTCTCTCAAGCGCTATTTCTTCCTGGCTTCCTCGTCCTTCCTCACCCATCTCTTGGACCTTGCTCACACAGAGCTGAAGAAACCCGCGAAAGGTGTCAGTATCGTTAAGCTACAGAGTCTGCTCGACCTTGCACTTACAGGGGAAGATGCCGCATTCCGCGAAGATGTGCGAGTCAGCATCGCGAGCAGCGGATTGTATGAATGGTTACTCAAGGTCATCAGCGTAAGCGGCGTGATTGGCGGTGAGGAAGGCGAGGGCGTACCAGATGAAGAAGCAAAGAAGGATCGCGAGCGGGAGAAGGATGACAAGAAGCCCATGCTAGGTATGTGCGTAAAGCCTTTGCGCTACTGTCCTTGCTCATCTCAAACAAGCGATTGACGCCCTTACACTCGACTACAACGTGAAATTCCCGCTTTCGCTCGTTATCTCTCGCAAAACGATTTTGCGCTACCAGCTCCTCTTTCGGTTTCTCTTACACCTCAAGCATGTAGAACAGTCGCTCGCATCGATGTGGATAGAACAGAAGACAAGTCCCTGGCGGCGTCCTGTGCCAAACCACCCCGAATTCGAGCAGTGGCGACTACGAGTTGCGCTCCTGAGAGCTCGCATGCTCGCTTTCGTTCAGCAAATACTGGCTTTTCACGACATTCGAGGTCCTTGAACCTAACTGGCGGGCGCTAGAGGCGAAATTAGCCAAGGTAACCACTGTAGACCAGCTTCTGAGAGGACCACGTAGACTTTCTGGACACGTGCCTGAAAGAATGTATGTTGACGAGTGCTAAACTGCTGAGGGTAAGTGTGCGACCTCAAGCTCAAACACCCACTGATCGTCGCATCTGCAGGCGTACTCCCGCATGATAGTGACGTGCTCTACGTTCGCACTGTACACCTCGTCCTTCACCAAGTCCGCTAATCAAGCGCTCGCAGCAGCAGAGAGCGGCGACGGCGACCAGGCGATGAACAAACGCTGGGAATTCCTGAAGAAGTTTGAGTCTAACTTTAACCACTGGTGAGCGCCCCATCGTCTGCGTGCGGTATTTGGAGAGTGAGATTCTGACGATGATTGTCTCCAGGTTTAAGGTAATGTTGTTTCATTCACGCGGTTACCGCATTCCCGGCTGACAATTTTTTTTACAAGTTTCATCTGGACTGCGTGCAGTACTACGCGTCGAGTGAGAATGTGTCGTTGCTTCCTCTTGTGGTGCGGTTGAGTAGCATCAAGGCGATGTCATAGCATGAGCTGTATCGATGAGCAGTAGGGGTCCTGGTGAGTGACAGAACGACACCCAAAAATTCGGTTAGGTTTATTGCTTTCTTAGGTCTGTCGTCGTTGCATTTTGTTTTTCTAGCCATGCGTGATATATATGTTAATACATGCTATTACTGGGGATGTGAGGAACACGTAGTAAGACCATACAAGAGATGATAGTCGTTCCTTGATAAGCCTCGCACAAGAGCCTGTTCGCGCTGAGCAAACTACTTGACACACCGTCTGTCTCATTTTAAACAAAAACTGAGAGCCCTCAAGGTAAAAGCAAACGAGTTGGAAAATGCAATACACAATGTCACCAGATGATAGCTTAGCTATGGCAAGAACGCTGGGTCTATAGGTCTATAGTTCAGTGACAAAGAGTGAGACAGCTGAGATTGTATTACATAGATACGCAACATATCAGAAACCATGTAATCAGATAAGGGAGTCAAGATATACAGGTCGTCATGACACATAAGGTTCTGCCTGAGCATTTCGACACAATGGTCTGAGGTACAACATACTAGTAAGTAGTATGTGGGCTAGGCAAGAAACGATATACTTACCGAAACGAATGCGCCAGAAGACTTCGAGGGATTCCTGGAATTCATGACTCGTGGAATTAACATGTTCACCCCAGCTGGTTCTGCGAAGCATGTCCTACAGGGGAGTCAGGCACTTTTGGGCTGTTACCCCCATTCCCCTGTTCTCTCATTCAAATTTTCATTGATTATTTACTGCACATATTAGGATGTAGCCAAGGAAGCCAAAAAGGAGTGCGAAGCACTCCTTTTGCTTCCTGTGCCGAAGGCACAACGGGTGTTGGACTAGTATATAATGTGGCAGGTCTGCAGCTGGGTATGCATTAATATGTTGAAGGGTTGAATCGACGTCGCATGTACCGAGCGGAA